TTACATGTTCAAATAAATAAATAAGGAGAAAACCGAGTGTTATTGCATTACGTAAGCATAAATATTGTCAAATAAATAATATCAGAAGGGGTTTTTATAGATATTATAGTAATTTCAATAGTTGAGGTCATAAGCTAATTGAAGCCAGAACACCATGAAAAACCTGCAAGCACTGGACGGCCGTTTCGCCCTATTGTGAGATATATCGCTCAATTTCATGGATTACTTAGATAATAACACTATTAGATGATGGCCGGCTCAGTGGTTTCGAGGTTAAGCGTTCGAGTGTGAAACTGATAAGTCTTTGGGTTCGAATCTCGCGAAACGAGATCGTGGATGCTCACACACATAGTTGAAGAGTCCCATACTATGACGAAACGATTATCCAGATTTTCTATGGTTGTCTAGCTTCAATTAACTCATAATCTCAATTATTGAAAATCAATAATAAAACACCTTGCACTATAATTATCCTCATTTTATTGACAAATATGATAATATTTCAATTAGATTTAACTTTGAATGGTGTAATCGTTTCTTTGTTGTTGGTGTTGTTGCTGTCGTCGTCGTCGTCATTGTTGTTTTTTATTGTTATATGACATAACAGAAATATAAGAAAGTTGGTTCATCATTAAAAAGTAAAAGAGACAAAAAACAAAAATAGAAAAGAAAAAGAAAAGAAAGAAAATAATACAGAAAGGATTAAAATAAAATTATTTACAAAATTCTCATCATTATTCTTTTTCATCAATCGACGGATACTTTGTCTTCTGATGTATTTTGTATTGATTAGATATAATTGTTACTATAATGGTTACTGAAATAATAATAATAAAGCTGTAGACATTTGATCATAAAGACAATGGAAATTATTCATCATAATTGATTATTATTATTATTATCAATTCATGGATCGATCGATCGATTGATTGATTGACTGATTGATCGATTGATTTTAAAATACATCAAACAAAAGATACAAACAAGAATTGATTTGATTCAAAGTAAATTGATTGATCGATCGATCGATTGATTGATTGGTTGATTGATTAATTGGTTGATTATATAATTGTATATTGATTAATTACAATAAATTAAAATGAATAAATTTAATCCACTCGGGAATAGTTTGACACAAAACAAACAAACAAACAAAAAAAGGTCTCAATAATTCATCACATATAAAATGAATTTGGTTTTTATTGAAGAAGATTTGATTGATTTCAAAGTAGAGGAAGAAAGCAACAGTGATACATCTGATTATGATTATTAGTATTATTATTAAAAGTACATCTATAAGCGTTTGTATGAGCGCACACACATATATATATATACATACGTACGTTCATAGGTAGAATAGAGGTATATGAAAGATGACCAATGATGGTTTTGTATAACTCTCTCTCTCTCTCTCTATATATATATATATACCTGTTTTCGAAACTGCCTGAATTCATTCGCTTATGTTTCTCATCACAGGTTAAAGGTTGAATATTAAAAGTAGAATCTATGTGAAAAACAAACAAACAAACAAAAATGTACTATAAACTTGTCTAATGAAGTTTCAAATGATTCAAAAGATCTATTCACTGTGATGAATGCTCTCAGTCATTGTTTTCTCTTAGTAAGATAGTTTCAATCAGTGAGTTACAATGTAAGATCAGGCATATATATATATATATATATATATATATATATATATATATATATATATATATATATATATATATTGCTTCAAATTGCCATACCGCCTTAGTATAATCATATGAAAATACCGTTGTTAGCGGGACATAGACCGGATTAAAGTATGCTCAATGCATGATTGCTTTGGTGCACACTAATTGGCTAATTCTTATCTAATCAGCGCTAGTCGATACTTGGAGAATACTCTGGAAATCTTCTCATGTGAAAAAACTATAAATATACTAACATTCTTCCTATTGTGCTTCTTACTTCCATCTAATCTTATTATTTGGAATATAGTCTCATTCCTGTTCAACCGTGTCCTGATTTGGGGACTTGTCGAGTGAATCGGTGTCTGAGAATACTAAGCAATGGGAATAGCTGGGTTATAAACCGTAAAAGAGAAATATAACAACCGTATTCACAGAAACATTGTATACAAGGATATAGTACAGGAAGAAAAACTTAGTTCATGGAAAGATTTCAATCAATTTTAATCTCATAGTTTAGAAGAGGACAAAGAGTGTGTATACACCTAAATCATTGTGATCGATTATGAGTCATGTTACCCAGAGTCTTCAACCATTACCATTTTAAACAACATAAAGGAATCCTTATAAATTCACATACAGTTTAATAAATAAATAATTTACTTTAACATGAGAATGTAATAGAAGATTGTTTGCATTTTGAATGTATCTTAATCCATTGGTTAAAATCAGTCAGAATGTACTGAACATTTCTATCTTTCTAAGATTAGACTATACAGTAATATGTATCCATAGTAATAATAATAATAATTCTGATAGTTTTATAAAAATTTTCACTAAATGACCTGATGATATTTTGTTTAAATGAGATGACAAAGTTCAAGATTCAATCTTGTTCAAGTTCATCAATCCTTACTGTTAATTTCTTTGAATGTATGAGTACAAAGTTTTACGTTATCCTATGTTTATTTTTAACTTCGCCTGTAACTCTTATAGGGTTACTGCCGGTCCCAAGCCCGGGTAAAGGAAGAGGGTTGGGCATGGGGTTAGCGTCCACATCCCGTAGAAAACTAACTCGCTAAAAAAACGCTAACCAGAAAAATAAGTAATGTTTATTTTTGAAGCATCATCGATGAACAAGGAGGTTCAGATGCAAACATAAAGGTGAGGATTGGAAAAGCAAGAGCCGCATCTCTACAATTAAAGAACATATGGAACTCAAAACAACTGTCTTCATACCAACATCAAAGTCACAATCTTCAATACGAACATCAAGACAGTTCTACTGTACGGAGAAGAAAATTGGAGAACTACAACAACCATCATCAAGAAGGTACAAGTATTTATAAATATTTGCGTATACAAGATACTCAACATCCATTGACGGTATATTAACACCAACAAACTACTGTGGGAGAGAACAAACCAGCCTCCAGCTGAAGAGGATATCAGGCAAAGACGATGGAAATGGATAGGACATACATTACGGAAATCATCAAACTGCATCATGACGCAACCGTTAACCTGGAGTCGTGAAAAAAGGCGTTAAAGAGGAAGGCCAAAGAACACATTACGTTGGGAAATAGAAGCAGATGTGAAAAAGATGAATAAGAACTGGAAAGAGCTGGAAAGGATTGCCCATGATAGGGTTGGATGGAGCATGCTGGTAGGTGGCCAATGCTCTTCAACTAGGAGTAACAGGCGTGAGTAAGTACGTAAGTATTTTTTTTCTATTAGTTTTACAGTTGATACCAATCTGGATGAACGTACTATTAATAACAAGTATACTGAGAAGATAATTTATGTTAATAGCCTTAATTGTATATCATGAACTACTAGGTTGAATAGATTAACTTATAATCTAAGGAAGTAATACGCTAATCATGATGAGAAGTAAACATTTATTGTTGAGAATAATTAAAAACTAGATCCAAATACGGTAGGGAAATGAACAGACTGTATGTACAATGGAAAAAAACACTATTCACTACTTGTAACAGAATAAACGCTTTCTGTATTGATTAAGATCATTCTATGTTATATAGTTCTGCTATATTTCAAGAGATTACGAGTTCACCTAATCTATGAACGGAATGAATACTCAGTGACAGAATGACCAAATCAACTAACTATTCCGATACGATCCAGATCCGTTAATTAGAGAAAGATGTTCAAGTTCAAAAGTGGGAAATATATTCCACAAGCACGAACAACAACAACAACAACAATAAACACAACTTAAGCGTATATAAACAGCATAAAAATGTCCTTGGTAAACGTTACAAAACAATCTATTTAAAGAGACAACGAACCAATCACATTTAAGGTCCTCCCAAGTGTGGAATAAGACATAAGACATGAAAATGGGTTCTTTTGGCGCAAAAACAAGAAATTCTTTTTTTTTAAATAGAATTACAAATGTAACGCATTTACCAAGTCGTTTTTGTGGAACTAACATTCCCAAAGGAAAAGAGGGAGACCAAAAAATACATTACGCCGGGAAATGGAGATAGACATGAGAAAAATGAACAAGAATTGGATGGAACTAGAAAAGAAGGCCCAGGATAGGGTGAGTTGGAGAATGCTGGTCGGCGGCCTATGCTCCATTAGGAGTAACAGGCGTAAGTAAGTAAGTAAGTAACATTCCCAACAAGTTCCTCTGTGAATTTCTTTTAACTTAACAAAGAAGTAAACAATGACAAATTTAAGGTCAATAAGAACCAATCAACATCGAGTTGTACAGAACAAGCTGTGAAACACATATGGAGAAATTCGAACACTTCACTTCTATCTGAAGTTTGTGCTGATGATGTCGTTCAGAAGAAGAACGATGAAAGTTCCACAATCAAACCATCCAGGTCAGAGAACAAAACTCCACCAAAATCATCCACCTGAGCTACAAATTTTCTCCACCATCTCAAATCCCAAGATCTATTAATGTCGAGAGTGGGCATTTAACTTCTAGACCATTGAATTGTTAATCAACGATCATCTTCCATTGTCTTCATTGAGTAACTGTCTCATATCTGATCAATGAAGAGCTATTCAATAAGACATACAAAGAATTATAAATGAACTAACTTTATCTTGTCTTCTCATTAATTGATTTACATTTGGAACGTTTATTCTCATTTTTATTGATTGTTGATAATGTGTTGATTTGTTTATCATTTGAATGAATAGAACTAGATAATTGATTCTTTGATTGTTGTTGAATTGATACCACATTATTAACCGATAATTGATCATCTATACCACTATTTGTTGATTCTTCTGATAATTTAGAAATTTCTTCATCATGTAATATTGTTGTATAATTTGAACGATTTATTCCACTATTACCACCATTATTATATTATTATCATTTGGTGATTGTTTATGACTTGTACTACTACTACTACTACTATGAATTAAATGACGACTACAAGAATGTGGACATAATCGTATAGTAAATTTTGATGATTGACATTCTGTACAACAACATCCTGTATCATTTGGCATAACATTACCACTTATACTAGATGAAGCTTGTCCATGATGTCGTTTATGAAATGGTTGTAGTGAGAATCTAAACAATAACATAATATAACAAAAAAAAACATATATTATTAAGTTCACTTGGTATTGTTTGGCTTGTATCTTACCATTGAGGTTTAACACTGCAATTGATCAGTCTGTTATTGGCATATGTGCATACTGTGCAAATGCCTCGACATTACCTTAATTCGCAAGCTATTTGTAAGTAATGATGGATAGTGGCTAGCAGTGGAATCCAGTTTGACACGCGTTCCGTCCTATTTGGGACACGTCATCTGGATGTATCTGCATCTCAGAGTTGATATCCGCTCTGGGGCTCGAACCCAGTACCATTCGCTCCAAACGCCATCACGTTATCCATTCAGCTACTGAGTCCTGATAGCCACTTGCGCGTCCTGGATTCCACTGCTAGCCACTATCCATTATATTATTAAGTTTCATTTGAATCATTTATAATGTATTTACACTAAAAGATTTGTAAGTAGAGATGGATGGTGACTAGTAGTGGAATTCAAGATGTGTGTCTCGTCCTATTTAGGACTTGTCAGTTGAATATGTTATGAATGAGAACATAGATGGGGACAAGCAGTTGTATTTTAATATTAAATTACAGAGTTCTTTGGTAAAATTTGATAACCATACGTTCAATACTTTATTTGCAAATCCCTTAACAATTGTCTCAAACTTCATCGTTCTTTCATTGCCATAACAATTACTCTCTGTTTCCATTCTCCTTGATTGGATTTTCCCAACAATCTGCTGTCAAGCATTCCTCTTCGGATTGGTATCATATACTACTTATGACAAAATATCACAGATGTACCTGTATCTCAAAGTTGTTGCTCACTTCGGACTCGAACGCAGTATTGTTCGCTTTAAGTGCCATCGCGTTATCCACTTAGCCACTGAGTTCAGATGATAGCCACTAGTTTGTTCAATCAGGTGAAGTAATTCATTTTCATATCGATTATTTGAATCTTCCCATTAATTTTTAGGACTACAATTGATCAGTTTATTATTGGCATATGTGCATCATGTGCGGATTGCTTAGATTGCCTCACTAATACTAATTCAACATTTCATTTTCAGCCTCCTCTAATTACGCGTCAGTTGATCCGACAAATATATTATTTTTATTTACGACTAATCATATGCCATGAGCCGTTGATTTCCCACATGGAATTTATCATTCATTACCAATGTGATAGTCATAACACTAGAAAGTCATTCTAGTATCTTGTACATATGTATTTTTTCATCTATTCGTAACAAACACTGGTTCATAGACTTTTTAATTGCTCACCCGAAATGAAAATCGATTAAGTCATTGTAGGACTCTGAATAAATGAGATCGAAAGCCTAACTGTTACTCAACTATCAATCATTCATATGTGTAAATAAAAGATAGGTGAAATATTTGTAGTTATTAAGTTGATAAATTGTAAAGATCTTTGTAATGCCTCTTATTAGTGTCTACTTTATGAATTCACAAAGGCTTAAAAAATACGTTGGCTGTGGTTGTGTATTGTAAAACTTCACAACATTTGACATTACTTCCTTAATATTCAACAATTTTTCCTATTGTACTACTCTATTGTTTAAAATGGTTTCAAGTTGAGCATGGGATTAACATTTAAAATTATGAAGATCCCAGTGACCAGGTGCTAAGTAAATTTTAATCATCGAAATAAACTAGTTAATTAATTGTAAGTAGTATGATAGATAATATAAAATAATCTTCATTTATTCTAAATGTTAGAGAATTTAAATACCGAATGTGATTTAAACGATGAATCATTAGTTAAAGCGTTCAGTCATTAACCGAGAAGTGTAAGATTTCAATATCATAACCATTTCGATTCATTCGATCAGGGTAGTATAACTAACTCTTATATTAAGTGCGTTAATCGGAGCGAAGTTACAAGAACTTGTAACCATACTATCCCCATTTCCTCTTAATTTAATGTTGTCTTATAATTTCCATAGTGTAATAAGAAGACGAAAATTACCAGGACTATGTGATGATAGCATTAACGCAATACATTTCGAACAATCTGATCACACATTGTGTACTTGTTAAGAACATTTATACATAAAAATAAGAGATATGTGGACGATATCTTAGTTGTCTGTGAAAGAAAGGAGGATATGAATTGTTTATTGAATAAACTTAACACTCTCCATAACCACATTAGTCTCTCATGGGGAGAGGTGAACAACGACCGGCTTCCATTCCTAGATATGCTTTCAAGTAGTCGAGAAGATGGCCTAAGCAAACGATCTACCTTTAGAAAACCAATGTTGACAGGTCAATACCTTAATTATTATAGCTATTACCCTGTGCAATACAAGCGGGGTTTCATAAGGTGCCTATTTACAGGCTTGATCGTATTTGCACAAATGCCGCTATTGATAATGATGTTACGTTGTTATAAGAAAACATTAATGGAAAATCGCTATCCTCTTAAATTTATAAATAGATTATTAACTTATGGTACAGTGAGATCAATTATAGATTTGGTAGAGAAAAAGACTGTTTACATCACCTTACCATTTAGAGGTGATTCAAATAGCCTTTTATTGAAAGAAAGGCTTAAATCAGTCATTAACAAGACATATTACTCAGAAAAGGTCATTATCAAGGAAACAAGAAGATTCATGCTTCATCGAAAACCTTGTTAGGTATGCAGAAGAACATACCAATAATTATCGTGTTAAGTCGAATGGTGTACTTGGACGTTAAATGTACACTCCCTATTGGTTGATATTTGTTTCACTTGTTAAATATTGTGTAAATGTTGTTTTCTATTTTATGGTACGATGTGGTTTGTTTGTTTGGTATATAAATAGATTATGTCTGAAATATAACGATTCATAACTCAGAGGCTGTGACTTGCGTTCTAGACTCAACTGGCCGGGCTAGACAGGGAAGTGGGACCAATCAGGGCACTAGGTCGTTCACTACGTGTTTTCGGTGTCACTGTAATCGATCGATAAAAACGCTGCTCCATTTACCCGTGCAGTCCACCCGTTACAACAAACCTAAATGGAGTCTTGGCACTATAAGTGATACCAGTTCGTGATTAAAACCATAAATCTAACTCCTAACCTTAATCATCAACTGTAAATCATTATTCTAATTCCTCACACTAGTTTCTAACCTTCATTTGGTCATAGTTATCAGGTAGAAACTCTCAAGGTCAATCTAGCGTCAATGAGAGGTCATCCACAAATTATAGTCTCATCGAAAATAGTTAATGTTTTCTTTTCAAAGAAAAAACCTACCGGCGTTGTTTTCGTCCCCCTCTACGTTTACTTATATGTGGATTATCTTTTCGCATTGCTTTGGTTTTATACAATTCAATTTGTGTATAAAGACGTTTTAGTTCACGCTAAAACAAAAGAAAAGAAAAGAAAAGGAATCACTAAGACAATTTATGTAATGTAATGAAGTATCAGATGTTCAGAATATTACAGAATTTCAACTTTATCTAATTTCAAAATAGTATGGACAGGATTTCCTGATGACTACCTCCAACTACCATCTTATTTCGACATAGTGCACACAATTTCGAGATATCTAGACTATTGGCCACATTACAACTTAGTCGATAGGATTCGACCTGCACTAAGAAGGACCTGACATATATGACATTGATCACCATTCAGTGAGCAATTAATTGTACAGTATGAAGTTTGTTGTTTTTCATCAAAAAAAGAGAAAACGGAAAAGCAAGATTCTCTGATGCAACACAGCATGCACCAATCCAGTCACAATTGACGGAGAAGATTTGGAAGATGTAAAACTCTTTACATATTTGGGCAGCATCATTGATGAACATGGTGGATTTGATGCAGATGTGAAAGCGCGGATCAGTAAAGCGAGAGCAGTATATTTACAACTGAGGAACATTTGGAACTCAAAGCAACTGTCAACCAACACCAAGGTCAGAATTTTCAATACAAATGTCAAGACAGTTCTATTGTATGGGGTGGAAACCTGGAGAACTACGAAAGCCATCATCCAGAAGATAGAAGTGTTTATTAACAGTTGTCTACACAAAATAATTCGGATCCGTTGGCCGGACACTATTAGCAACAACCTACTGTGGGAGAAAAAAACTAGATCCCAGCGGAGGAAGAAATGAAGAAGAAGCGCTGGAAGTGGACAGGACACACATTGAGAAAAGCACACAACTGCGTCACAAGACAAGCCCTCACATGGAATCCTCAAGGCCAAATGAGGAGAAGGAGGAGAGCAAGACCAAAGAACACATTACGCCGGGAAGTGGAAATAGACATGAGAAAAATGAACATGAATTGGATGGAATTAGAAAGGAAGGCCCAGGACAGAGTGGGTTGGAGAATGCTGGTCTGCGTCTTATGCTCCATTAGGATTAACAGGCGTAAGTAAGTAAGTAAGTAAGTATGGAGTTATTTTCAGTTTTTGATGAAACTTTATTCTCTGAGTTGAATGTTTCAGTTGTGGAGTTTTCATTGTTATTTACAGTATCATCTGATTATATACTGTTACAGACTTCTTAAATGAACACATCATAGATTGATGTTCCCATGGAGATTAAAAGTGAATATGAATTTCAAAAGTTAGAGAGCTATTAAAAAATGATTATTCTTCTTTTACTCAGTACTGTATGCTTGATTACAGTGAAGTTTTATCATTAAAAAGATCTACAAAACTGCCACAAAAATCCACATCCCACAATCATTCAATTAGGGAACATTCGAAAATCATATATAAACCATTTTTAAACAATTAATAAAGTTACGACCACAACTGTTATGAATGTTCATCTGTTATTATTTCTAACCACTTTTTTGCCTCAGAAAATTCTTTCCCAAAGTCAAATATACCTGAAATATCATTTCTATAACGAATACTTCTCGTTTATTCAAAGAACAGAAGAGAAAGAAAATCTACGAACTTTCATGATGGTACTTTCTGAGCTTTTCAATGATGATATTCTAAACATGTTGCAAAACAGCATATTAGAGTGAGTTAGTATGAAAAGATAGTAGAGATAATTGATATAAGCAAAGAAATTTAAGGCATTAAACACATCTTCACTTGATATTGTTTTACTTGAATCTTCCCATTGATGTTTTAGCACTGAAATTGATCAGTCTCTTATTGGCATATGTGCATACTGTGCGTATGCCTCGATATTGCCTTAATTTACAAGCATTATAAGCAAAGATGGATAGTGGCTAGCAGTGGAATCCAGGACGCGCGTTTCATCCTAGTCGGGACTCGTCAGCTGGATGTACCTGCATCTCAGAGTTGATGTTCACTCTGGAACTCGAACTCAGTATCGTTCGCTTCAAACGCCATCGCGTTATCCACTTAGCTACTGAGTCCTGATAGCCATTTGCTTGTGCAATGGGTTGAAGTTTAATTCACTTGATATTGTTTTACTTGAATCTTCCCATTGATGTTTTTGCACTGAAATTGATCAGTCTCTTATTGTCATATCTTCAGAAAAATGGTAACTCATAAGTTTGGAAAAGCCACTGAGAGTCACATAGGCTACTACTTATCCAAGGAATACGATATATATTGTTCGTTGTAAATGTTCAAGTTACCTCTGTCTGTGAACTGTGAATTAAGTTGGCTAGTTTTCAACATTAACTACATTTACATAATGATTTTGAATAGTTCAACGTTATTTCAGTTGACACAGGAAGGTTGTAGTGATTTTGCTTCGATAATTGATCACCTCGATAATCGTTATAATATAAATCTCAACGGTGTTTGAAATCAGAAGACAAAGAGAAGTAACAACTATAGTTTATTAACTGATAGTGCAGAACATAAAGCTATAAACACATCGAGTGAATTTAAAGCGGAGAGGCGAATAAGTATATGCGAGCGATTTGTAGTGTCAGTTGCTATGTTAAGCTCAATAAACTTATTCTAGCTTCTGGACAGGCCAATTTATCCATTCTTCTCGAGTCACGTTTTGACTTTGTTAATTATTCACCTATCAACCATGACTGTTTTTATGTAAGCGTATGTGTGTGCACTTCGTACCTCATTCATCACATATCTGTAACGTATTTTTGTTCGGCTATAAATGTAGATTAACGCTTGGTTAAATGGAGTTGCCTCACACGCCTTCTCCACCGAGCTTCATTTCGCTTCGTTCTCTTCTCTTCGCTTTGTTTCTTTGATGGCATGATCAGATCAGTGAGTGTACAAAATATATGTATTTAAACAGCCATTCTCATATTTGACTTATTTAATTCCATTATTCACAAACGCGATCTAAGTCGAGTACTATATACGAGGATTGACGATATATATATCGACAGCAATCATAAATAGATCGCGGGCCATTAACATGTGTAAATGAGTTCGTTAGAGATTCAACCTTCAGTCATACGTTGTCAAATTTAAATTCACACCAATCAAGTTGAGATACATAGTGGAATCCAGGACGCGCGTTTCGTCCTATTTGGGACTCGTCAGGTGGATATACCTGCATCCTAGAGTGAACGTCAACTATGAGATGCAAGTACATCCAGCTGACGAGTCCCGAAATAGGACGAAAACTCACGTCCTGGATTCCACTACTAGCCACTATCCATCTTTGCTTATAAAGTTTGTGACTTAAGGCAATATCGAAGCAATACGCACAGTATGCATATATGCCAATAAGAAACTGATCAATTGCAGTCCAAATTAACAATGAGAAGATTCAAGTAAAACAACACTCAGTGAATTCAATCAAATTGAGTTGATGAACAGTGTAAGAATAATGTTGTGGATACATACTCACACTTCTTTCTCTGTTGCTAATCAGTCTACCATTTGATATTAGGCACGTTTATATTAACAGAACACATAAAATAAATTCAGTTAAACTTTTATTATTCGGTATATTTAACTATATCAAATGAATCTTTCCAATTTATAATGATGATAGCTGTTCACTGTTAAATTAGATTAAACCTTCTTAAAAACCATTATAAAGTGAGCAAAGATGGTTAGTGGCTAGCAGTGGAATGCAGGACGCGCGTTTCGTACTATTTGGGACACGTCAGCTGGATGTATCTGCATCTCAGAATTGATGTTCACTCTGGGACTCGAACCCAGTAATATTCGCTTCAAACGCCATCACGTTATCCATTCAGCTACTGAGTCCTGATAGCCACTTGCACGTCCTGTATTCCACTGCTAGCCACTATCCATCTTTGCTTATAATGCTTGTAAATTAAGACAATATCGAGGCATACGCACAGTATGCACATATGCCAATAAGAGACTGATCAATTTCAGTGCAAAAACATCAATGGGAAGATTCAAGTAAAACAATATCAAGTGAACTTTATAAAATGGTTTATAAGTTCATCGTTTTTACATTCATGGTTTTGAAATACATAAATACTTGCATGTATGTGAAAAACTATTACCATTGAACTAAACATAAAGAGGTTTTGTGGATATTATAGTAATTTTAATAATTGAATTCATGAGTCAATTGAAACTGGACCACCATGGAAAAACTGGAAGCACTGAATGACCGTTTCGTAATAGTATGGGACTTTTCAGTAGTGCAAATCCACAATCCTGCCTCGACAGTTTCGAACTCAGGACCTATCAGTCTCGTGAGTGAACGTTTAACTTCTAGACCATTGAACCGACCGGCATCTAACAGTGTTATTGTTTAATTTCAAAACTAAACAATGGTGATTTATTACAGTTCATGTTCTAGGCAATTGTACCGTTCATTGATAGAAATTTAATTGTTATAAATTTCAGCTTTGGTGTAATTGAAAAGTGAATAACAACGAAATACAATCAATTCCCTGTACTCTCTACATATGAACGTCCTTATTTTCCTTAACAAATTTTGTTTCGCTGGTATGAAGATTTGTGGAGATTGTAGTATTTTAACAGTTTAATTCACGAGTTGATCTAAGTTAGACCACTATTGAAAACCTGAAAGCAGTAGACGGCCGTCTCACTGGATGAAGGGTCAAGCGTTCCCGTGCGAGATACATAGTCCTAGGTCCCAGTTCCACATGTGGAATTATGAGTTCAATTCTGGGGCCAAGTGGCTGTTCAGTGCTTCCAGGTTTTCAACGGTAATCTAGCTTAGATTGAATCATGAATTCAAATTGAATGCAGATTGAAGAAAGCTTTCGTCAGCTACAGAATCATTAGAAATTAACATTTTCTTCCCAGTGCACACTTCCAACCACGGATCCCACTTATGAGCTTTTAGTCTCATTATTCAATCAAACACAAACGACACAGAATGTGGCACGTTTATCGGTTCAAATGAGCAGACTCATTCTGCTAGCTTTAGTATTAGTCGCTTAATTGATTCGATGATTCACTCATTTCCCTATGTATGCATATGTACATTTTAATCCTATTCATTTGACTCGTACGCTCACTCGCTCGCTTGCTTGCTTTTCGGCACTACTCTTTCATGCTTGCTTAGCTTACCTATAATTTTGTTTATCTGTGCATGGTGCAACAATAAATTTAATCAACACTTCGTATTCATCTTCTGACTTATACACCGTTGGGGCGTTCTCTAGTGAAGTTTATCAGGACGAACTATATACGAAGCTTAAGGATTGAATACCGACCACTGTACTATATTCATTTAGCATAGAATATATATGTATATATATATTGTCAAGTTGGTTAGACTATCGATTGCTTTGTAACTTATTATTTGATTAGAAATGTTATAAAAACAGTTTGTCAGTTCGTATAAAACTTCACCTTATAAATGATCTTCGTAAGTATAACTTTTCAGTATAACAAAATCGGAATCACTTTTCATTAAAATAAAATTCAACTAACCCTTATTACTTCAGGATCCATATCAGCTAAGTTCACATCAGCAATATCTAGATCACCATTTGATACTAAATTCAATTTTCCACCACTAGGTAAATGTGGATCACCAGGATAAGGAGCTCCAGGTGAACCACGTGGACGAGTAGTATTACATAATGATTTTGATGAACGACATAAAAAGGTTACCTAAATTTGAATGAAATTAATTGAGATCAAAAAAAGATATGAGAAATTAGTGTATGATAACATGAATAAGATACATCTTAGCAAAACAGCTTTGAATAACAGTTTACTTTAGCAAAAATTACGAATACTAATCGAGTAACAAAAGATGGGAGGGGATTCTATAGTTAAGAGCTTTAGAAAATAAGGCAATCTACTTTAGCAACCTAATATCACTACTGAAGAGTTTTTTCCCATTAGCGATCATCCTTGGAAGTTTTCACGAAAGAACCAAACACTTTCATATATTGTGACATAGTCATCTTTGCTGGACTTATCAATGAAAACATACATTCGCAATCAAACTAGGCTTTAATCCGATATCCAGTTAATTCGTGATATTGAGTAATTGCCACTGGTAATATCTCTTAAACAGATACGTAAGTGAGTGTTACTGGTGATTTAAGTAATTAGCCGTTTTATCTGCCAATGGTTTGCTACATAAATCAACCCATGATATGAACCTAACACTGAATGATCTTTACAAGTCACTTATGTTAATAAAAATTCTAATCTTTCACTACAACACTTTGTAATCTTCAACAGTAATCAAGAATCTTCTGTCAATAAGATAAAAGCATCTATATATTTCTTTCAAATGATTGACCCGGTGAGACTATAATTTATAGACGATATTTGAGCGACACTACAGTGATCTTGAGAGTATCGACCTGATGACTAGGACCAAATGAGGGTTATAAACTAGTATGAGGAATTAGAATTATGATTTACAGTTGATGATTAAGGTTAGGAATTAGATTCAGGGTTTTCATCACGAATCGATATCAACCGTAATGCCAAAACCGCTATTTAGACAAATGGATGAGTGAATTTTGCGCCAAAATCAAAGACATGTTATGGTGAATCTGATTGGCTCGTCCATAAATTCTAGTCTCACCAACAAATCAACTTCCATCTGAAGAGTAAATTATCAAAAGATACTGGAATTAGATAGGATACACATTGATGAAATCGTCAAACTGTATTATTAGGCAATCACTAACTTAGAATCCTGAATTGAAACGGAAAAGAGGAAATTCAAAGAACACATTACGTCAAGAATTGGAAACAGACATGAAAAAGATGAATAGCAACTGAAAAAGATTGTTCAGGACAGAGTTCGGTGAAAAAGAATGGTGGGCGGTCTATACTTTTCCACTATGGGTAACAGGCATAAGTAAGTAAGTAAGTATGGAGTTAGATTGTATGTAAAACAATTAAAAATTACCAGTTTAGGTGTTGGGGAGATTGTTAAGTTTTTGATTGAAATCATCAGTCAATTGAAGCTAGACCACCATGGAAAACCTGAGGGCACTGGACGGCCGTTCCGTTCTAGTATGGGACTCCTCAGCAGTACACATCCACCATCCCGCCCACCGCGAGACTCGAGCCCAGGACCTACCAGCCTCGCACCAGGCGCTTAACCAACTGGACCACTGAGCCGGCATCCAATGGTGTTAATGTCTAACTTCAACCAATTCAGGAAATCGCGCGATCACCTTCCATTGTACTGAGGTAGACACCTGTTTCTACCCGACACGGATTAGCTCCACTGGTCACGGAGAAACGGCAGTCCAGTGCTTCTAGGTTTTCCATGGTGGTCTAGCTTCAATTGACTCATGATTTCAATCAAAAAATTAAAAATTAATTCAATAAAAACCTTTCTATCAGTTATTATTTCATCGAAATAAAATCTAAGGAATAACATACCTTTGGTACAAAAATCAATAAAAGATTCACTGTTACAGTTATGTGAGATCGGGCAAATATAACAGAAATATATAATCAGGATGAACACTGTACCATATGAAATGTCTACAATATAAACGTAAATAAACAAAAAGATGACTAATATAATAAAATTTTCTAATTAGATTTAATAATTAATGAATAATTTATAGTTTACATCAGTGCTGTTAGAGGAATGAGCGCGATTATCACTTCCCAGTTGTCCACATCGTGGAAGGGTTTTACTCGAAGTACCTGAAAAGAAAATTGAGTTATGGGTGGTCTTAGTGACCTGAGAGCGTGACCTCAATGTCCAAGGGACAACAGCTTCACGACGGTCATACACGACCTTTGTGTAAGTAATTTTTGTGTTAGCTCCGTACTTGTTGAGACCTTACCTCCGGAGACAGAAATCCGTGGGATGAGATGAGGTGTCCATTTTTAGGGTCGACCTTTCCTAACCCCACATGTCCTTGTGGGAAGGCTGGTTGTCTGAACAGAACACCTTACTGCCACCACACCTCTGTATAGACAACAGCAGTAGGACTTCGCTATCGGACCATTGATTTTCTGCTTTTAGTGTTACCTCTCTTCAAACAACAACAAATAGCAACTTAATCGAGTAATAGAAGACCAGACAAACATTATAATCATCACTACCCAGTGATCAATCAATATAAGTAATGGTTAGAAATACACGTTTAGAATGGAAGAAACATGAAATCGGGTTGCGAAAATAGATGGGTGAAAGATTAAGGTATCACTGATATCCGTCACATATAACAAAATACAAGTCACCGACCTAAATTTGTGTAGTTTATGAGATATTCGAAAAATGAGTTCGTGTCTCTATGGAGAGATTTGTGGTGGTGGTGGTGGTGGTACAATCTTGAGTCATTTCATATAAAACCAAAGTTGTAGTTAATTATAAGAAACCCTGAGAAATAATCCAAATCGATGAATTTTTTAACTTAAAAAACATTAAATTTAAGCTTGATGGGTTCACTAATCAAATACTTTATACTGACTTTCTAGTCTCCACCTAGATCCATAGAATTTTCCCATACTTCAGCTTTTTCCTGGTTTCTGAAGATCATATCGAGGAACTCTTGAGGGATTGGAATGCACATTAAATTCACTATACTTTTTTGATGGAGTTTTGTTCTCTCAGTTATATGGTTTGGTCATGGAACTCTCATTGTTCTTCTAAACAATATCATCAGCACAAAATTAAGGTAGAAGTGAACTGTTTGAATTTCTCCACATATAGCTCACACATTGCCCTGCAGACCTCGACCTTGGTTGGCTATTATTGACATTTAACCTGTCATTGTCTACTACTTTATTTTGATTGTATCTTCCATTGATTTGATTCTTAGTCCCATATTTGTCCATGATTTTTCTGATTGGTTATTAGATTGGATATATTTCAACATGTTTGTTGATTGCTGGTTGACTTGAGTGTCAAGCTTCTAAAACTTTCCTGTGGATTACAGTATTCCCTATATTTAAGACCAACTGATCAGTAAAAACATGGAAAAATATAGGATCAAGCATCAAATCAACGGGAGATACAAGCAAAATAAAGAAGTAGACAATTACAGGTTGGGGATCAACAATAGCCAATCAAGATCGAAATCTACAGAACAAGATGTGAGCCATGTGTGGAGAAATTCAGACAATTCATTTCTACCTGAGTTTTGTGCTAATGATATTGTTCAGAAAAACAATGAGTCCAACGACCAAATCATCCAAATCAGGGTACAAAACTTTATCTCAAAACATGTATGCTACTTATTTAGAATATAGTAGTACAATTATAATTAGCAAAATAAAGTTCACTTGCCTTAATAAATATAGAAATCCAGATACTGTCATTTCAATAATTAAAGCCACACCAATATACTGTGTTTCATTGTATTCAGATGGTGCTGTTCGTACAAGACGACAATAATGTATACTGATAGCTAAGATAATGAATTCAGCTAGAAAAAATGTAGATAAGTATGGCATTTTAAACTACTTTAGTGCGTTTCAAGTAAACTAGATAAAAAGAAATTTCGATCAATAATGTTCAAAAGAGAAAACTTTTCCTGTTTACTTCTCATTTACCCAGGGTATTTTTATGATTCCATCCTCATAATGTTAAATAAACTTCGCCTCACAGAAACTGACTTCTGAATTAAGCAAAACAAAACGTTACTAAATTGAACATTTCCAACATTCAAATTTGATTGGTGTAACACAGTATAGTTATGATTGTTAGGAGCTATATAGTTCTTTGGTGATTTCGATTATTCTACCCTGAAGAAGCATAGACAAGTTAGCTGGACGAAACGTTGGAATTATTTAAATTTCAATAGCTGAGATTATTTCAAATATAATTTTCAGATATAATATTTTGGTATATTTGATGCTTGAACACTCATTACTGACGTTCGAACCTTCCTCTAATCCTAAAATTCTCCAATAACTAAAACCCAAACAGAAGATAAAAGGTAGGATGTATGAAAAAAGTCAGTCAGTCTGTAACGTATGTATGTACGTCAGTTCAAGTTGCCATACCACATTAGCACACTGATACAATTGTCAATTCAAATACCATAGTGGTAGAGATAGTAAAAGTATAAGTAGTCATCAAAAACACTAGGGTTCGAACATGTTATTCAAAGAGTATAATCCAGTGAAATACATTTGGAAAGAGAAAAAAGAAAGGGAAATGAAGAATTCAGAACATTCGAATTTGGGAGAACTCAAAGAGTGGATGTACCTGCTGCATTGCAAACGATTTTGAGCCATGGCATTCAAGGTCTCTAACTATCGTTTGCTATCATCTTGCGGATCCCAACCAGGTAGTCTACACCTACCAACATGGCTCACTCAGTTCACTTGTCAGTGATTTCATGGATTCGTGACAATGTATTGGTCTGACTGCCCCTAGATTTCTTCCAACCTACTCCTACACCATAAAACATCACACGTTGTGGCAGTCTGTGGTTGGGCATGTCCCATTCATCTCAACTGATGAAGTTTCATTACTTCATCAATTGATTTGCCATCTTTACCTAGTACTCTGTATAAAAAATAGATATACCCGTTTGGATACTAGTTTGGATACTGTAAACAAGGATATTTATAGGTTTGTTGATAACATTTTTTATCCTAAAAGGTTCTACAACTTTGCCGCAATTCGTACAGAAATCCCTAGTTTGTCACAAAGATATAACACGTAATTGATTATTTTACCAGAACTCCCTTGGAAGATTCTATTGAATGAGAATTAAACTAAGTCTTTTCATCCTTCTTCTCGTTTCTGAAGACTTTCCTAAGACGTTTTTGACAAATCTCGACACATTAATATGATATATGTCATACAACAATCCAATCATAGATTTACGTTATACGATATTTATATAAGAAAATTAAGGGTTAAACAACACAAAATGGAGCATAGGAAACCAATAAGATAGTATACGATCTAACGTTCTTGAGTTATACCTAGTCTATTAATTACAGTCTCCCATATTCACAGCCACTTTGGGCTAGATCTTGTACAAATGTTATTTGCTATTTTATAGTGTGGTGTGATCTGTTTGGTTTGTATATAAACCCAGTATGTTTGAAATACATAGTTCATATTACAGAGGCTGAGATTGATGTTCTGGACTCAATAATCCGGGTTAGGTAGGAAGAAATATTGATAAAGACTCTAGACAGATCGTACGGGTTTATATGTCATTGTTCTCTAATTGACGGTATCATTGTTTTCTATATGAATAGGGCAAAAAGTGGATAGGACACACATTGAGGAAAGCACACAAATGCGTCACAAGACAAGCCCTCACATGGAATCCTCAAGGCCAAATGAGGAGAAGGAGGAGAGGAAGACCAAAGAACAAATTACGCCGGAAAATGGAGATAGACATGACTAAAATGAACAAGAATTGGATGGAACTAGAAAAGAACGCCCAGGACAGAGTGGGTTGGAGAATGCTGGTCAGTGGCCTATACTCCATTGGGAGTAACAGGCGCAAGTAAGGGCACAAAGACACTAGTTATGACATTGACATAATGATATACAAGAAAAAAAACAACGATAAGAACTTACCTAATTCAACTACAACATCCCATGACATTGCACGACAAACTTCGAAAGTGATCATTTCCTCTCCTGAATCATTGAAGAATTTATTTTGTTGAATATTATTAGTTACATTATTATTATGATGATCCAAATAACTATGATTATTGATTTTTTTAATTTTAATATAACCTTCTTGTTTCATACTAATAATTGGTCTATTCAATTGACGATTATTATTGATTATTGAATGATCATCTTGAATCCATGAACGATTACTAATATAATCTAAATTAATTGCTGTCCATGCAATCATATAAGTGAATGTTAATATGATAAACAGTCCTAAATACTTTAATATATCTTTATCACGTACATGAACCCGATGAGCTTTACGTGATTGAAAACCAGATAGAACCCTTGAGAATTGAATTTAAAAAATTGAAATGAAAGGAAAAATATGATCAGAACATCAATTGTAGATTTGATTACGGTCACTATTGATAATTTTATGAATAAAATAGTCTACTTTTAAACGGCAAGTTGTATGTTCGAACCCCGTCTCATTTTCTTCAATCTAGATTTTTAAAAATCTGTATTGAAAAGCTTGATACATAAACTTGTATTATCAGTATAGGGTTGTGGAGATTATCAAATTTTTGATTGAGATCATGAACCAATTGATGATAGACCACCATTGAAAACCTAGAAGCACCGGATGGTCGTTTCGTCCTATTGTGGGATTCCTCAATGGCAGTGGGCATCCACGATCCCGATTGTGAGATTCTGTGCTAATCTGTGTCGGGTAGAGACAGGTATCTACCTCAGTAAAATGGAAGATGGTCACGCAATTTAGCTGGTTGGTTGAAGTTAGACACTAACACCGTTGGATGCCGAATCATTGATCTAGAGATTAAGCGTTCGAGCGCGTGACTGAATGCCCTGAGTTCGAATCCCGCGAGCGAGATCGTGGATACGCACTGCTGAGGAGTCTCACAATTGGACGAAACGGCCGTCCGGCGCTTCCAGGTTTTCATTGTCGGTCTAACATCAATCAGTTCATGATCTCAATCAAAAACATAGACTTGTACTTGGTAGACGGTATATTCTACTAAAACTGAGACTACATGGACGGCATTTTTTCAGTGGTGTGATTGGTCATCATTTACGGGATAATGGATATGATCTCGATGTCAATAAGTAAACGACTTTGAATTTATCATACTTTTCAGAAGCCATGGCGATAAAAAGACTTTCAGACATATGTGTGCATTCTAAACACATGGTGTTTAAACTTACTTTCAGATGGTAACTTCAATCTTAACAACTATTTACGTCACATTATTTACAATACTCTTACTCATAAGTGCATATCTCTTTCTTGTTTATTGTCTGACTTGTACTAATTTACTCGATATTTTTTTGTACTTAATATTGCATAATCTGTTTGGTTAATCTTCCATCTCTAGAAACCTATAACTCCACGCTTTTCACTAGTACATTCTAGGATATTCATAACGTCAATCTATGAATAAACAACTGTACAAATGATCATTTCTAATTTCTTCATATCTGAATGAAGCAAGGACAATAAGTGATTCAAACTAAGAGGGATTCATTTTTATTTCGTGGGTACTTATCAGCTGCTTACAACCATTAATATACAAGTCAGGAAGCCTAAAGTTGACCCCCATAGCTTCCTCTATCTAGTGGAGTTGAAATTTCGCTTGTTTTAAACTCAACATAAAACCGAGGAGACAATCCATTTTAATGTGATGTTCTCTACCTACCAATTGAGAAAGGATGGCACTGTCAATAGATTTTGTGAATATCTTTCCTAACAATACTGGTACATGTTCAAGAACCGGCATAGAATAATCTCTTTGACTAGAGTTGACGTAAATAGCTCCGCAGGAGCAGTTAAATTGGTATATGATCATTGAAGAGTTCATCATCAATATGCTCTCGTTTTTTTTTCTTATTAGTTTATATCTACGTGCCAGCAACAAAATCAATCATGATTCGAAATAATATATACATGTTAATTTTTGAACAAATAATTGACTCATGATCTCAACTATTGAAATTACTATAATATCCACAAAAACCCCTTCTGATAATAATCAACATGTGCTCACTAGTGACTGGCTTCAAGAAAGATTTTCTGGAGTTCTAGTGAGAAACAGTGACTAATGGACTTCAAATGGATCCGTCGTGAGATAGTAACTCACTGAAGACAATGATGGATGGTTGTGCAATGTCATGGATTGACTGAAGTTACACATTAACACCGTTGGATGACAGCCAGCTAAGTGGTCTAGTAGTTAAGCGTTCGTGCGTGGGGCCGATAGATCCTAGGTTCGAATCTCACGAGGAGTCGCACATTAGGACGAAACGGTTAGGTTTTTGCATAGTGGTCTAGCATCAATTGACTCATGATCTCAGCTATTCAAATAATATGTGTTGTTTCTGGATTGTAATCAGCTGAAAAGAATCTATGAAATAAAAAAACCAAACTATCCTGTTGTGTATATTACCAGCTTAGTTACTAGTTACGGAATAAAATAAGGTTAAAAGTAGGTTCTCTTTAACATACCTATAGATTTTTACGATTAATACACCATACATAACTGAAAAACCAACTTCACGAACCATGGAAGAATAAGGCATGTTATATCACTGACAGGAAAATACATTACAACAATCTGTCAAAGAAAGAAAAAATAATCATATGAGAGTTAGAACGTTTTATAGTTAATAAGAATAAAGGTTTAGTTAGATTAGTTTTCTATATGACAATATGTTATCAGGTTATATTAGGTTCCTCCAGAGCAAGATAATTCCCTTCGGTCATTACCATAGTGATTAGCAGGATTACATAACTTATAAAATATCTTCCTCAAACGTTAATGATTAAATACGTCTGGAATTCACCGTAAGTTCTGACCTCAGAACTATAATTGATTTCAAAGCAACAACGAGTAGAGATCTATAATTCTTGGAGTTAAAAATAATAGATTCTTTCGGAGCTTTGATAAGAACAGTTTCTGAATTTGAAACTTAATACATGACGGATCAAATTTGGAACAACATATTCAACCAGCTAGATAATATTTTAAATATGAAGCAGATATGTTACAATGAATTAAAGAGGTGAGAACTTAAATAGTAAAACGATTTCTTCTATGAAGAATGACTGAAAATTCGAAATCCTTTTCCATTGTTTTATCATAAACGAAAGTGATCTTTCATTAGATTTCCGTATATTGAACGGTTACTTCAATCACAACAACCATATGTTGTATCTACCTCTTGTATCTAAGAGTGATCATCTTTCAAAAACCAAAATCAAATCATTCATATCTGGTTGTTTATTATTCACAATCAGTTTGGAACTATTGAAAGCCAGTGGAAGAGTATATAGCTCCAGCATTTTATACTGTAAATTGTGAAGACTCAAAATAAGACACTAGATATTCTATTCTTATCACTGTAGGTTTAATATTGTTGTGACATTAAATGTTTATGAAACACAGTTAACTACATCGCCCTTTGTTTTACTACCTCTATCAGTATGGCATTTGAGTCGACAATTGTATCTGTGTGCTAATGTGGTAATGGCAACTTGAAATAATGTACATATGTACGTACGTATGAAGTTTTACGTTGTTGACTGATTGACATCGCCCTTTGAAAATCTCAAATATATTATTTAATTCGACGAATGTTACTTTATCAAAATCTATAAGGATACATTTCTAACATTATATGAATAATACTTTCGTCCTCGTATTAACCATAATAAATAATAAATATAGTCTGTTCATTATCGCAATTCATTTCAAAAATATAAGAAATCTTTGCGTGATTTTCTCTATAGAACCTTTTCAACCAAATAAATAAAACACTTGGTATTGTGTACCTGAATCTTCCCATTGATATTTAGGACTGAAATTGATCAGTCTCTTATTAATATATGTGCATCCTCTACAGATTGCCTCAATATTGCCTTAATTCACAAGCATTATAAGCAGTAGAATCCATAACGCACGTTTCGTCCTGTTTGCGACTCGTCAGCTGGATGTATCTGCAGCCCAGAATTGATGATCACTCTGGGACTCAAACCCAGTGTCGTTCGATTCAAATGCCATCGAGGAAATATGCACAGTATGCACTTATACCAATAAGAGACTGATTAATTGCGATCCTAAACATTAATGGGTATATTCAAGTAAACAATATCAAGTGAATTTAAACTTCAACCCATTGCACAAGCAAGTGGCTATCAGGACTCAGTAGCTAAGTAGATAACGTGATGGCGTTTGAAGCGAAAGCCGCTGAGTTCAAGCATCAGAGTGAACATCAACTCTGAGATGCAGATACATCCAGCTGACGAGTCCCGAATAGGACGAAACGCGCATGCTGGTTTCCACTTCTAGCCACTAATCATCTCTGCTTATGAATAAAACTTGACAACATTCTTCTATGTGTATATAGTCAATAATCGTATTAAGAGAATAACATAATTACATAAATAATGAAACTTACGGTTGAATATAAGAGAATCGCGCCTACAAGCATAATTTCCATAAGTACAAGATTAGCACTTTTAATTACCTAGAAATTAAATAATCAATAAATAAATAACCAAATATTATTAGAAAATTTTATTAGATTTATAGATTAGTAACCATGTAAACTGATTAGTTTGAATACTGAAAGGTCATTTAACTGAATGACAATGAAAAAATATTTGTGTTATGATTAAACGTAATTTAAAACTTTGTTTAACTTGGATACTGGCTCACAGTGTTGTGGTGTGTGTTCTTGTACTGACATAAGTAGTATATAACGCTGGTTAGGAATAGAATGTCTGACAGAAGAAATTTAAGAAGATCAGGGAGGAAAGGACGGGGACAGAAAGTAATTGGTATGAAAATGCAGGAACAATAAAGTCTGAGACAATTAATGAACATTTTGCAAATGAAGTATTTACTGTTCTTAGATTTTATTAAGATTTTCTATGATTTTGTATTCAGGTACATTCCATTGTATCTATTTGTGTTCTCTTTCATTGAAGTACTATTGGCTAAGTTTTCCCACTAACCAAATTGATTAGAAGCGACACTAGGACAATAAGATTGATCAGATGAATTAGATTTCTTTAAGCTGCATGGTTTAATTGTAAATAGTTCATTGGCTTTCTAGACAACATTACACAGGTAATATTGAATGCAAATTCAGTTAGATCATTATTCTGAGCCACATATTTTTTTCATTACCTCGGAATAAGATAAAAAGTGATGATATTTTAGAGAATTGATATGATTGATCAAAAATATGGATTCGATCCTATATTCATTTCGATCAACGAGTCATTGCCCCCAAATGTCCTGGTGCGGCTGAGGGTAGGGAGCGTTCGCTCTCCCTCTACAAATGCTCTCAAGTAGCCACGTGCCTACAACCATTACCAGGGAAGTCCTACTCACTGCCTTCTCGTGGCACTACTGTTATATATCAAATTGAGAGGACGAAAAACAAATGTACGGCACTTGAACCGGGTTGGTGGAAACAGAGAGTCCACCTAGAGGAGTAGGAAAACGCGGATTCCAAACCAATGGTGCACATGCACTCCAGGATCCTGAGGGAACAAACGGTGTATGAACCAATCGTTGGCCACAGACTACCATGGGATCGCATCTCTTGACGTTGCTCCACTACACTGTAGATCAGACCTTTATGTCGAGGGCTCTGGGTGTGGCCACCTAAGAGAGCCAGCTGCCTAGGACTGGGCGCCCATGGTGTACCACATCCCACACACAAATCAAGTAACTTGTGTGGTGCATATGTGTTCGGTACCACTTTGTACCAATATTCGTGTGTTCAAATAAATAAATAAATAACGAGTCATTAAAAAACACCAAACGTTACATAATTAGGTTGCATTATCTCCCACCGAAATACAGAAGTTTAAGTAGAAAATAAAAGTGGACTGATGTAGAGTAATTAAACTAGAAATTTATAAGATAAAAGTACAATTTAGATGTTAACACTACTGGATGACAGCCGGCTCAGTGGTCTAAAGGTTAAGCGTTCACGCGCGAGACAGAAGGCCCTGAATTCGAATCCCGCGAGTGGGATCGTGGATGTGCCCTGCTGAGGAGTCCCACAATATGACGAAACAGCCGTCTAGTGCTTCCAAATTTTCCATAGTGGTCTAGTATCAATTGACTTTTGATCTCAACTAATGAAACGAAATAAAAATTGTTGAAAGTTTCCAGTCCACTAACAAATTCACTGGCTAAAGTCAAATAGCTATGCATATAGCTATGCAATAAATCATACAGATACATTAAACGAAAGGCCTGTTAGGTTACTCACCTTACCTATTTCAATGTTATGATTTCTCAGTGAAAACAGTTTAAAAGAGATCAAACAGATAAATAGAAAATGATAAATAATCATTGAGATAACTTACTCGGGCTCTACGTAATTTAAACATAGCTATCCCAATCAACAAACATATTGTAATACAAAAAGTTTGAAAAGCTAATGGAATTGCTCTGAGTAAATTATAGTCTAGTTGTACACGACATAATTTATTAGATTTACAATTCAAACAACCAGTTGGACATGCACGACAATAAAATCTTGGTAATTCCGATTCATCATTCAATAAAGCTGTTTGAAGTTTTGATTCAATTAATGGAGCTGGATAACCCTAAAAGAAAATTACAGAATGTAAAAAAAACACTATTCAACACTTGACAATAATCAACTGTAAGCAAATGAGAAAAAAAAGAAAGAAGCTGGTTTATCTCTTGATTGAGATCTTGAATCGATTGATGTTAGACCAACATTGAAAACCTGGACGCATTGGGCAACCGTTTCGTCCAATTGCTGAACTCCTCAGCAGTGCGCATCCATGATTTCGCTCGCGGGATTCCAGCTCAGGGCCTTCAGTCATGCGCGCGAACGCTTAATCTCTAGACTAACGGTGTTAGTGTCTAACTTTAACCAACCCACTAAATTGTGAGACCATCTTCCATTCAACTGAGGTAGATACCCGTCCCCACTCGACACGCGTTAGCTTCATTGGTCCATTCATTAGGAAATCCAACGAAATCGCTTCAATGTCCACCATTACCTTCAGTGAGTGAGATTAGCTTCAAGATGGATTTCCTGCAGTTCTGGTGAGGAGCACTGAACAGTGGAGTTCATACAGGTCTACTTTGAGACAGTTTCCCATTGAAGACAGTGATGAACGGTCACGCAATATCGTAGATTAGTTTAAGTTAGACATTAGAATCGTCGGATGCCGGCTGGCTCAGTGGTCCAGAGGTCAGGTGCTCGCGCGCGGGACCGAAGGTCTTGGGTTTGAATTCCGAGGGTACGCACTGCTGAGAAATCCCATAACAAGACGGAACGGCTATCCAGTGTTTCCAGTATTTCAATGGTAGTCTAGCTGTAGTTGACTCAATAACTAAATATTAAGTTACTACAGTCTCCACAAAACCCCTTTCTGATTATTCGTGAGAATTCTTTAGTTACTTAAGCTAAATTGCCTAGTTATCAAGCTTTCTAGGCAATATAATTAGCATAGACCAATTAGCAATCAATCAGGAATGTTAAAATAAATTCGACTCAATTTATTAGTCGCTTAGAGAAACCTAAAACCTGACACATCCGACTATTAAAGTTGTCAGAAGATCAACATAATGATAATAATCTGGTGGTAAACGTTAGTGATAGAGCCCCTCTTTGTAATATGCAAGTATATAGTTTATTGAATAAATTTTATTCACCAGTCAGCAGACTATTAATAACATTGAAATCATTTAATAACTTATACTTTTACGAAAGACATCCTAAAGATCAGTCGTAAATCCATCAACAGGTAGTAATGATCATGTTTTCCTTTTTCGTTAATAGACAGAAATATCTGTAATGCTCTTCTGAGTAAATCATGTAGTGATTAGTAATATACTAAACCCACATGGATTATTCTAGCTTCTTGAGTCATATTTTGACTTTGTCAACTATTCCATTACAACCTTAACTGTTTCTATGTGAATGTATGTTTGTTCATCGCTTACCTTATACATCAAATATCTTTAGTTTTGATATGTTTGCCTTATCCAATCTACTTCTACACTGGTGGCCACATTGCAACATGATCGATAGCATTCGATCTGCACTAATAAGGACTAGACAAGCATGACATTGATCACCATCCAGTGATCAATCAATTGTGATTACATCTCAGTCCTACAGGAGGTTAATCACGGCTCGGATAACTCAGTGGTAACGTCTCTGACTGTGAAGCTGGGTGACACGAGATCGAATCCGCCAGGGAGTACCAGTCCCCTCATGATTACAGGTACACCTTGCTGACGAGTGCGAAGTAGCACGAAACCCGGGTCCAGGGTTTCTTGTTGACTACCTCCAACTACCATCTAAACTTCACTTCGTTTATCCTATTGTTTACTTACTCTGTTATTCTTTAACGTGAGATTAAATCGATAATGATAATATGATATTTGGTGATATGTATATTTCGTTAACTTTATCATTCGATTAATAACCCTTTAACTCTAAGAGATATTTCATAAATATACTAAAATCACTTCTAATGTATACTTAAAGTTTAGTTTCATAAGTAAAATCAGTAGTAGATACTGTCCTAATCATATATCATTACAGATCAAATAAATAGTTCACAATGAATTCCATTGATAAAGTACAATTTCAACAAATATTGTATTATCAGAAGGGGTTTTGTGAAGAATCTAGACATTTCACTGGTTGAAATCATGAGTCAATTGAAGATTTCAACCAGTGAAATTTCTAAAATCTTCACAAAACCCCTTTTGATATAAATCAACATATGCTCACTAGTGACTGACTTCAAGAGATACTCTTGGAGTTCTAGTGAGAAGCCGTTACCAGTAGAGTTCAACCAGGTCTGTTGTGAGATATCAACTCACTGAAGACAATGGTGTACGGTGGCGCAATCTAGTGGATTGGTTGAAGTTACACATCAACACCGTTGGTTGCCGGCTTGCTCAGTGGTCTAGTTGGTTAAGCGCCTAGCGTGAGACTGATAGGTCCTGCGTTCGAATCTCACAAGACGGAATCATGGATGTGCACTGCTGAGGAGTTCTACAATAGAACGGAATAGCCATCTAGTGCTGTCAGGTTTTCAATAATGATCTAGCTTCAATGAATTCATAATCTTAACCATTGAAATAGGAAATTATCCTTATATAACATTCTAAAAATCATTTTATCAGTTAAAATTGTTTTCATTTATCATTCTCTTTCTTTAGTTATTATCTGTTAACCGTTAACAGAAATCTAAAAATCAATATCGGATTACTTTATGGAATAGAAAGCAAAACAACAACAACAAAAAACTCAATATTATTATTATGATTAAATATGTTCATATGTATCATATTGATAGTTGTGTGATTGAGTAGAAGAGATAGGAATATACACATATAGATATACATAAATATTTCATTACTTTCTAACCCCTAGCATCAATATACAATAATAGTAGTAGTATATCTGCCTTTCCTATTTATCTGTTACTAATTCAAAACAAAAACAACAACAACAACAACAACAACCAAAAAAAAAAGAAGTAACCTAGGGATTTTAAGTTCACATTACTAAAATTAACCAATCATAATTATAGAATCATTTGTCCTTAAAGAAAGGTAATCAATCATTTTTAACTAATATAATCGATATTATTATTTTAACTTATTTTATACTAATCGATTTGTGATGATGTTAAATGATGATCTATTGTAATTAGTTTATCAGTGATTTGGGGTAACGGTGGGGTGGGGTGGGTGGGTTGTAGTTGGGTAGGGATAGGTGTAATGTAACATTCAATCTTATAATGTCAAATAATATGATTTTAACAATAACAATAACAACAACAACAACAACGAAAAGTTTGTATCAGTTTATAAGTAGCGATTTTCTCCGTTTTAGGAAAAAGTATATCAGTTCACTTGGTATTGTTTTACTTGAATCTTCCCATTGATGTTTTAGGATGTTTTAAACTTCACCCCATTACACAAGCAAGTGGCTATCAGGACTCAGTAGCTAAGTGGATAACGTGGTGGCGTTTGAAGCGAACGATACTGAGTTCGAGTTTCAGAGTGAACATCAACTCTGCGATGCAAGTACATCCAGCTGAGTCCCAAACAGGTCAAAAAGTATATCAGTTTCTTAAAGAGGAAGAATAAGAGATTGATCAATTGTAGTCCTAAATACCAATGGAATGATTTAAGTAAACAATACTAAGTGAATTTAAACTTCACCCCATTGTACAAGCAAATGGCTATCAGAACTCAATAGCTAAGTGGTTAAGGCGATGACGTTTGAAGTGAGTTCCAGTTACCGAGTAAACATCAACTCTGAGATGTAAGTACATCTAGCTGACGAGTTCTAAATAGGATGAAATGCACATCAAACTAGATTCCACTTCTATCCACTATCTGTCTTTGCTTATAGAGGAAGAATATATATTCGTAAAATCTCAGCGAATGAGTTTGAAGTAAATTCAACGTTTCGCTTGGTAAGGAAATATAAAATCAAACATCATAATTATCGAATATCAATAAGATACATGATTCTCTAGTTCATTGTATACTGAATAGGTCATTCAATCAATGTACGTAATTGTATTAGTGTGTAAAAGACATGTGGTGTGTAACGAAAAGTGTGTTAAGATAACAAATTGTGTATATACATCAATGGTGTAATAAGTAATTTCTCTGGTTGGTGAATTTGTGAAGAAAACATAGTATTTTCATAAATGATATGAATCCATAATGTCACAGCATGCATTAAATGAAGATAAATAAACAAGATAAAGGAATGAATTGAAAGAGGAAGAATGTATTTGTAACTGAATGTTGGTGTTATTTTAATGTTCCAGTTAACATATTCAGATAAGATAACTGATTAGAACCGTTGAATTTACATACTGTTATTCAGATAATACAAGATAGATAACATGGAATAACGAGTACATGTTGACTTATTAACTATTAGTTGCTATGAAACAGCTTATTGTATTCCATTACTCCTATTAATACTGTTTGGATTTATCCATATGTGTAGGACTTTCTTTGTAAGAATTAAAGCCTTTTTGAAGAATCCTTATGCCATTGAAATTAATTGTATGACCCGATTCTATTGAGTGTAATGCTATCTCTGATTTATTCTTGAGTTTTCTTACATCAACTGAAGATTTAGGAATGTGCTTTAAGCATAGTTTTTTGTTTCTCCACCCTCATATTCAGTTGTCTTGATGTTTCGTCTGCATCTGTGACATTACAATCACCACATTTGATTTCATAAATACAATTCTGTTGTTCGTCCTTGTGTATTGGATCTTTGATTCTTACTAGTTTTGATCTTAGAGGATTGTTTGTTCCAAAGTATACTCTTATATTTTGAAGAGTTAAGATCCTTCTGAAATGCATTTACAATATGAGATCACCAATGTGTTAACCCACTCACCCTTTTTGCTTAGCTCTTTTCTTTAATGATATCGTTTTGTCCTTCGTTCTTAATTATTCTTTTTGTAAAATCCATCGGATAATTATTCATCATTAGAGTGGATATATTTGGGCAGCATCATTGATGAACACGATGGACCTGATGCAGATGTGAAGGCGCGGATCAGCAAAGCAAGAGCAGCATATTTACAACTTAGAAACATCTGGAACTCAAAACAACTGCCAACCAACACCAAGGTCAAAATTTTCAATACAAATGTCAAGACAGTTCTACTGTATGTGGTGGAAATCTGGATAACTACGAAAGCCATCATCCAGAAGATACAACCGTTTATTAACAACTGTCTACACAAAATACTTCAGATCCGTTGGCCGGACACTATTAGCAACAACCTACTGTGGGAGAGAACAAATCAGATCCCAGCGGAGGAAGAAATCAGGAAGAAGTGCTGCAAGTAGATAGGACACAGATTGAGGAAAGCATACAACTGCGTCACAAGACAAGCCCTCACATGGAATCTTAAAGGCCAAAGGAGGAGAAGAGGAAGATTACAGAACACGTTACATCGAGAAATGGAAATAGACATTAGAAAAATGAACAACAATTGGATGGAACTATGAAAGAAGGCCCAGTACAGAGTGGATTGGAGAATGCTGGTCTGTGGCCTATGCTCCATTAGGAGTAACAGGCGTAAGTAAGTAAGTAAGTAAGAGTGGATATAATTAAATTCATTTCCATTTCTATATTTTTTGATTCAATGACAGCCTTTTGAACTCTGATGATCAAATTTTTGGTAGAGTGTAGATGTGCCGACTTCAAATCTAGAAATCTCCCTGAATATGTCGGCATTCGGAAAATACTAAATTTTCTACAATCATTATATTTCCTTTTAACTAAACAATCTAGAAAAGGTCATTTACATTCAGGAGATTCCAACTCATTGATGAACTTGATTTTGTTATAAATGTTGTTGACACGTTTAAATAGTTCGTCTAAACCATCTCGTTTTATAATGACAAAAGTATCATCTCAGTATGTTGACCAAACTTTTAGTGTATGTTCCCTTCCACCTACGTGTCAACAGTATTTATGACAAAATCAAGTTCATTAATGAGTTGGAATCTCCTGAACGCAAATGATCTTAACTTGAAATATCGTTGACCTTCTTCGTTTCCATGATAAATTTCTGAATGAACTCTGATCTGGTTCATAAATTCCCTGAGTTATCGCTTTTAATATATAAAAAAACATCAAGAAGCATTTTAGCTCCATCTGGTCTCAGAAAATACTAACTGATAATTCCGATGGTAATCTTTCGACTCTGTATCTTTGCAAATTATTGGCTGACTATATTAATGGTCAATGTGTAGTGAACAAGAACACAACTGGAGACAATCGAATGTATTTGACACGAAATTACATAGCATCTCAATAAAATCTGAAAACCATATAGTAACTTGTTAATTTGCAAAATATCAATCCATCATCACAAACTTGACTGTTCCTGTTGCAAACATCAATCCATTGTTTCAGATTTCATTGGTCATACGTTTTCATACCGATTGCGTTCTGTTCCCGTTCGTTCCTCATCGACGTTCTACTGAAATACATTCTATGCCTGACCACCGTTATATACTACTTGTGTGAATATAGGTAACCCACACCACAAGTGTACAAGTTGATCTTGTATATTTTCAGATACTTTTGATCATATTATGAATTATATGCGATACACAAATCTTCATTATCGTTCTTCCATTGGTTTGTATATCTGAATACAATAAGATCTTCAAAGTGTAAGCAGTTATTTTGTTTCTGTTATTGCTAAACTCGAAATTTATGTAGGCCTATTATTTGAATCATCGTTTTATAGCCTCAATAATTTATCATTTTTGTCCACTGTATGGTACTATTTCAGTGCCACCACTACTTAACCTTAAGGTAAACGAAGGATAGAGAAATTGGAAAACCTTATTTAACTTCATTATCATATGCCTCCAAATGCCCTGGTACGGTTAAGAGTGGGGATAGTCAACTCCCCATCTCGAAATGCTCTCACATAGTTACGTGCATACAACCACTACCAGGGAAGACATAATCATTACCTTCTCGCGGCACTACTGTTGTTTATCAAATAGAGAGGAAGAAAATCGAATGTCCGGCATATGAACCGGGTTGGTGGACACAGAGAGTCCACTTAGAGGAGTCAGATAACCCTAATTCCAAACCAATGGTGCACATGCACTCCAGGATCCTGAGGGAACAAATAGCGTATGAATTTATTGTTGGTCAATGGCTACCATGTGACTGCATTTCCTGACGTTGCTCCACCGTCTTGTGGATTAGACCTTTAGGTCAAAGATTCGAGGTGTAGACCCTTAAGAAAACCACCTGCTTCGGTTTATGCACCCTGACAGTATTCTAGTTTTCACACAAATTGAATGATTTATGTGGTGCATATCTATTTGGTGCCTTCTTGTACCAATGTTTATGTGTTTAAATATTTACATTTATCGATACATTGCTTGAGGGTCTCTTTTTGCATACTATTTCCAAATGATAAACACAACCCACTTACAGTAAATGGATATAAATTATTTAAGAGAAATTACAATGTTTATTGATTCAGAACAGAAATAATTATGTTGAAGCAACAACAACAACAACAACAGCAACAAAAACAATCGACGAATAATTGATGCATGTAAATAGAATGAAAGAGTAACTTAGCCATTTTTTCTCTCTCCAAAAATCAATAACATTTTGATAGCTTCATTTAATATAGTTAGTAACCAACATTATAAATTTAATAATGTGATAATAATGTCAATAGTTGAGATCATGAGTTAATTTAAGCTAGAGGACCATGGAAAATCTGGAAGCACTGGATGGCCGTTTCATCCTATTGTCGGACTTCTCAGCAGTCCCCAAAATATGCTCACAAGTGACTGAATTCAAGAGGCATTTCCTCGAGTTCCAGTGAAAAGCCGTGACCAATGGAGTTCAACAAGGTCTGCTTTGAGGCTGTTACTCACTGAAGACAATGGTGGATGTGTCGCTCAATTTCGTGGTTTAGTTGAAGTTAAACACTAACACCATTGGATGCCGACATGCTCAGTGGTCTAGAGATTAAGCGTTCCAGACCGATAGGTCCTGGGTTCGAACCCCTTGTGCAGGATCATGGATGCGCATTGTTGAGTCGCATACTAGGACGAAACGGTCGTCCAGTGATTCCAAGTTTTCCATGGTGGTCCAGCTTTAATTGCTTCATGAATTTAACTATTAAATCTTAGAACACTTTAAAATTGTCTGTTAATGAATTCGGTGGAAAAAAGAAGACAGAATATATTCACTAATGAAAAAGGTATAATATAATCAAAGATCAAGGTTTTCTAAGAAAAAAATTTGAAAGACATACATTTTGATACATAAAGTTTGTGATTTAAGACAATATCAAGGCAATCCACATAGGATGCATATATGCTAACAAGGTACTGACCAATAACAGTCCTAACACAACAATGGGAAGATACAGGCAGACAATAACCAAGTGAATTTACAGATTGAAAAATGTTCAAAACAAATGTCAATCAATACTAATAGAATCTGATCTAAAGAATAAGAATAGTACTGTGGTGCGTGCTACTTGTTTTGACAGAAGGTGTGGCAGCAGAGAGACAAGAGGATCGAACAGTAAAGAATGGAAACAGAATGCAATTTGTATGAAAATGCAAGAACAAGGAAGTCATTTTAAGACAATTGATGGACATTTCGCAAATTACGTATTTACTTTATGATTGTTAGATTTTATTAACAAGTCCTGTAGTTTTGCTTTAAATACATTCGATTGTCCCCACTGGTGTTCTTGTTCACTACAGTACTATTCAAATAAAATAATATTGTGGTGTGAGCTACTTATCTTCACGTAAGTAGTATGTAACGATTGTCAGGAATACAGTCTATTTCAGTAGAAGATCAAGAAGGAAAGAATGAGAACAGAAAACAATCAGTATGAAAATGCAGGAACAGCGAAATCTGAGATCGATGGACAATTGATCAATATTTTGCAAATGAAGTATTTACTGTATGATTCTCAGGTTTTACTAAAATGTTCTATAAGGTTGCATCCAATTACATCAATATGTAAAATGTAAAATAAGGTTCTCAAGTACCTATGAGCAAGTAATAAAAGTTTACAAATAAACATAATAAATATACTACGCCGCATTTGAAACATTATTGATTGTAACCAGCTCCGCCTGGAGTCCCTCCTAGGGCTACTGCCGGGCCCGAGCCCGGATAAAGGAGGAGGGTTGTGCATGGAGTTAGCGACCCCATCCCGTAGAAAACTAACTCGCTAAAAAACGCTAACCAGGATGAGGGTCGAAATAAACGAGATGAATTCATGGTGTTCTGATTAATTCACTGTTCTCTTTCTTATTTTTTTTAAGTTACTTACTTACTTACTTACGTCTGTTACTCCCAGCGGAGTATCAGCCGCCGACTACCGTTCTCTCTCTCTTTTCTTTGAAGTTATGTAAATGATAGATTGAAATTATCATTGATAATAAGAATGTTTTTTGTGCTTCTTTTAGTGGAATATTTTAAATTCCATAATGAAAATGATTTATTACCTTTTACATTAAAAACAAAAGCAGGGTGCATTAATACTGATAGTGAATTAACATAGTTGAAAAATTATTAGTTAACTTACATTTTCTATATTGTCAGTATAATAACCTGGAGAACATTCACACATATAATTGTCCATACTGAATGCATATGGATGATATTTTTTGTATACACACTGTAATAAGAGAATACAAAAGTAGAACGATAAATCGATTGATTAATATTATCAGTTTATTTGGTAAAGATAAATCTATTTGAGAATAATCGATACTTTGAATCGACTTTAGTGAAGTACTAGATAGTCAATGGAAATCAGGGTGAACTAAACACACAATTCATCTTAGGATCATATTCAGTTAGACAATCATCAACAACGTAGAACTTTATATGTACTTAGATCAGTTCAAGTTGCCATACCACATTAGCACACTGATACAATTGTCGATTCAAATACCACAGTGGTAGAGATAGTAAAAGTATAAGCAGTAATCGGAAAGATTAGCGTTTGAAGATGTTAGTCAAGGAGTATAATTCAGTGAAATACATTTGCAAAGAGAAAAGAGAAAGTGACATGAAGAATTCAGAAGATTCGAATTTGGGAGAACATAAAGAGTGGATGCACCTGCTCCATTGCAAACGATTTTCGGCCATGTCATTCAAATTCTCTAACTATCGTTTGCTATCATCTTGCGGATCCCAACCAGGTAGTCTACACTTACCAACATGGCTCACTCAGTTCACGTGTCAGTGATTTCATGGATTTGTGCCAATGTTTTGGTCTGACTGTCTCTAGATTTCCTCCAACCTACTCCTACACCATAAAACATCATTCGTCTGAGCAGTGTGTGGTTGCTCATATTTAACACATGTCCCAGCCATCTCAACTGATGAAGTTTCATTACTTCATCAATTGATTTGCCATCATTACCTAGTACCCATTTCCTAACAACTGCATTAATTACTCGGTGATCCCATTACAATCATATTTCTTAGTAGCTAACACCTACATTCCTGAGAGGATCGATTTAAGACCATTTACGCCCCTAAGCAGATGCATTACAGTTATACCACTGAGTTTTTGTTTATTTATTTAAAAATCCAACCTCAATCAGTTGGTTATATAGCTTGATAGACATTAGACTCTGTAATCTAAAGGTTATAAGGTCACAGAGAAATTTGTGTATCCTGAATTTTAACCTTTCAAAGTGATGTTGAGATGTAGGATGATGGTTGGAAGTAATTGGCAAGAAATCCTGGACCTATGTTTTGTGTTGTTTGATACTCATCAACGAGATGTACTTTTAATCTTAAAAGAATTGATGCTTCCTGGTAGGCTACACAGAATCGAATTCATCAGGTAGCATCAGTTCCTATAAGATTACAGGTTAGCCTTGCTAATAATTTCCAAACAGCATGAAACATAGGTTCAGGAGTTTTGTCAGTTACCTGCAAACATCATATTAAGAAATTTCCTGTTTTGGATTTTTTCCATTGACTAATAATGTTATATGACGTGTATACTTAAACGCTTTTATAGAATGTTTACCAATTACTGAGAAGCCCAAAAAGTACCACCACATTAATTTGAATGTTTTTTCTCTCTTTTGTTCTTTGTGAAGATAATAGATGATTACTGTAGAATTCATCAACTCTGAGATGCAGGTACATCCAGCTGACGAGTCCCAACTAGGACGAAACGCGCGTCCTGGATTCCACTGCTAGCCACTATCCATCGTTGCTTACAAAAAGCTTGTGAATTAAGGTAACATCGAGGCAATCCGCACAGTATGTATATATGTCAATAAGAGACTGACCGATTGCAGTCCTAATCATCAATGAGAAGATTCAAGCAAACAACACCAAGTAAATTCAATCAAAGGGATAGCGTTCGAAATCTAACTTAGTCTACTATTCAAGTAAATTAAGAAATTGAACTATACTCGTTTTTTGATATTAGTCACACATGCTGATTAACCAGAATCTCATCAGGAATATATTTGCAAAGATTTCACCGCTTGAAAATGAATATTTTTTTAACTCTTAAAACTTCAAAGAGTTCGGATCACAGTTTGATTTGATGACTGATATTGATCATAATAATATTTAGCTGACACAAATGGACCTACAGGTTGACAACTGCTTGAATGAACTCTTCAAACATATAACATTGACTGAATTATTTTCATGTAGAATGTTCCTTTCCATGTATAAACTTTAAGAAGTCAGAATTTATATCTGAACCCATAGATGTAAACTTGGAGTAACTATAAAGTTAGTTGAGGTGTGCTACTGATGTCAACACATATAAGTAGTATGTATCATCAATCGAAAGTGAAATGCCTAGTGGCAGAAGGTTAAGAAGATCACAGAGAAGAGAACGAGAACAGTGAGTGACTAGTGTGAAGGCAAAGAAATAATAAATCATGATTCCCTTTGAAGGATTGTTAATGTTCAGTGACAATATCACGTGAATTATGATGGAGTTTTGTTCTCTGAGATGGATGGTTTGGTGGTGGAGCTTTCATCATTCTTCTGAACGACATCGTCAGCACAAACTTCTACATAAATTATGTCGAACTATGACAACTTGTGTTCAATCATAATGTATATGATTCTGAAACGTTTTGAACTTTCAAATGTTGTCCTCAGTCAGTTGATAATGTTTTAGCCTCATCTAAACCATAAGCTACATTGAATACTGCATGTTTATTCTTAGTAGCGTGCGCATAAAGGATACATTAATTTTGGAATCCGTACAGAGACGATTTACACTTTGTATGCTTGGAACTGATTGTACCTTGACTTATAATTCCAGGGGTAATAAACTTGGGCATGACGTTTTATGGAAGAGGAGACTCAAACTAAACCTGTTCTTTTTCTTCAAAATACTTAGTAAATTATCTTTTGCATCCAGTCAAGTAATTCAATATGCAGAAACTTATAATTACAACATCCATAACTCCTTGTCACCAGTGAAACAAACCCATTCTAAATCATCTCTCCACATGAATTCCAGACTCTGGAATAATATATTACAATCTATCTGTAAGATAAAATCAGTCCCATTCTTTGTTTGCTGCATTGATGTATATTGCTCCTCTGAAAATGCATTAAATGTTATAGCACTTGTAAGTATATCTTAATCCACAAGTGAGATTATAGGAACTTTAAATGTTTAGCCATTCTTATTACAGAATTCATTAAGTTAAACCGCCTACCTGCTGTTACTTTACATCTACACTGTCCCTGTCAACCCCAACTAATTTGAATAACATCTTACATGAACAGTATATCACTAAGTCACATGATACATGCATTATGTTATACCTGATTAACATATTTTAGTAAATATTGCTTCGTTGTTCCATGCTCTCTGTTTTCCATTTTACTTTCTCTAGCTGTAGATGATCATAATTAATTCGTTATGGCACAGGAAATGGCCTTAAATGCACCGTTCATAAATCAACAGGATGTCCATTTGAGAAGAATTAAAAGTACCCGACTGATGCATTGCATTACTGTAAAATACATGTACTACCTAAACAATTACTAAACTAGTAAACTTAAAACATCTAATGTTACTATTTATATTGAATTGATCATATATATATATAATATCTGTCTGCAATAATGTACCAGTAAGAAGCTGTGACCAGTAGAGTTCATTAAGGTCTGTTGTAAGGCAATTACTCACTGATGACAACAGTGGATGGTTGTGCACTGTCATGGATTGGTTAAAGTTAGACATTAACACCGTGGGATACAAGCTGGCTCAGTGGTCTATAGGCTAAGTGTTCGCACGCGAGACAGATAGATCCTGGATTCGAATCCCTTTGTGCAGGATCATCGATATGTACTACTGAGGAGTCGCATACAAGGACGAAACGGTCGTCTAGTGCTTCCAGATTTTCAATGGTGGTCTAACATTGATCCATTCCCTTAGTAATAGTATATCAAGCATATTTTGCATTATATATAAATAAAATTAATACATGATGATAATTTATCAACTGGAGTGAATGCATAATATCATGATTTCTATATTAGATTAAATTTAAATTTACCTATAATCTAAAAATAACTTTTAAAAACTTTGTTTAAGTAACTGAAACTTAGGAAACTAGGCGTATTCAAATCTGTTGAAAGCATAATATCACTGGTTGAAATCATGAGTCAATTGAAGCTAGGCCACCATGGAAAACCTGAATTCACTGGACGGCCGTTTCGTCCTAGTATGGGACTCCTCAGCAGTGCGCATCCACGATCCCGCTCCCCATGAGATATCAACTCACTGAAGACAATGGTGTACGGTGGCGCAACTTCGTGGATTGGTTGAAGTTAGACATTAACACCGTTGAATTCCGACTCACTGGTCTAGTTGGTTAGGCGCCTAGTGCGGGACTGATAGGTCCTGGGTTCGAATCTCGCGAGGGCGGGATCATGGATGCGCATTGCTGAGTCCCATACTAGAACGAAACGGCCATCTAGTGCTCTCGGGTTTTCCACGGTGGTCCAGCTTCAATTGACTCATGATTTCAACCTGTGAATTTTCTAAAAATCTTCACAAAACCCATTCTGAAAGTATGATACTACGATTCATGTTCAGTATCAGCATCTTTCCATAAACTATATTATATGATTGATGTCAATAGGTTCTATACACCGTTTATAATTCGTTTTAAAGACTTACCTTACAGTAAAGGCAATATTCCATGGATTGAATAGTTTAAATATGAAGCTTTCATTACTATTCTGGGTAAAATCATCTATAACTGCATTGATAAGTTTAACCTTATTGATAGAATTTGATTAGCATTAAAGTACTAAAAAGATATAATATTGTTCAATTCTCTTTAATCAGTCAGTGTATACAAGCAATTTTCTTTTTATACATCAGGTGAAGCAATCTCTCACAAACACAGTCACTAGTACAGAGTGATTGGACATTTCTAGAATAATTCTAAAAAACTTGATTTTATATGAATTTGACAATTATGATATTGTCCATAACGGCAAACAAAAGATTCTTAGCTCAATCATTTAGCAAAGGAAAAACAACCATCATCAACAGTTCACTTGGTGTTGCTTTACTTGAATCTTTTCAATGTTATTTAGGACTGTAATTGATCAGTCTCTTATTGGCATATGTGCATCCTGTGTGGATTGCCTTGATATAGCTTTAAGTCACAAGCTTTTTAAGCAAAGATGGATAATGACTAGCAGCGAACTCCAGTTTGACTCATGTTTCATCCCATGTCGGACTAGTCAGCTGGATGTACCTGCATCCAAGAGTGAACATCAACTGTGTGATACAGGTGTATCCAGTTGACGAGCCCAAAATAGGATGAAACACGCGTCAAATGTTCATATTAAGAGGATATTAATATTACGAATAACTGATAGCATTTATTTCAAAACAAAACGAGTTATCATTAGAGATAATCTTAGTTTAATGTGAAGATAAGGTGAAAGGAATAAAAGAAAAAGTGCCTTCGATCTCTCCTATTTTTAAAGATCTATTGAAATTCTAATGTGATTAATTTACAAAAATCCTGGTTTTATGAAATAAATTATTACATCCTACTACCGTTTAGCTATCAACTCCGCCTGGAGAAGATTTGGAAGATGTTAAAATTTTTACATATTTGGGCGGCATCATTGATGAACACAGTGGACCTGATGCAGATGTGAAGGCGCGGATCGGCAAAGCAAGAGCAGCATATTTACAACTGAAGAACATCTGGAACTCAAAACAACTGTCGACCAACACCAAAGTCAGAATTTTCAATATAAATGTCAAGACAGTTCTACTGTATGTGGTGGAAACCTGGAGAACTATGAAAGTTATCATCCAGAAGATAGAAGTGTTTATTAACAGGTGTCTACACAAAATACTTCGGATCCGTTGACCGGACACTATTAGCAACAACCTACTGTGGGAGAGAACAAACCAGATTCCAGAGGAGGAAGAAATCAGGAAGAAGCGCTGGAAGTGGATAGGACACACATTGAGGAAAGCACACAACTGCGTCACAAGGCAAGCCCTCACATGGAATCTTAAAGGCCAAAGGAGGAGAAGAGGAAGATTACAGAACACGTTACATCGAGAAATGGAAATAGACATTAGAAAAATGAACAACAATTGGATGGAACTATGAAAGAAGGCCCAGTACAGAGTGGATTGGAGAATGCTGGTCTGTGGCCTATGCTCCACCAGGAGTAACAGGCGTAGGTAAGTAAGTAAGTAACCATGTAGCTATCGCACTAGTGTGATGGTTTGATTTGCATAACGACCTTTGCTTCAACACTTGTTCTTTTAAGGTCTAACATGTGGGAAAGTTTAATTAGAAAGCATTGAGAAACATAACATCTAAAGGCAAAAACACACTAAGTCCTAGGTTCACTCCTAAGTGGTTGAGTGGATATGCATTGCTGAAGAGACCATCAGAAACGGCCTTCTATGGGAGAGAATAAATCAGCTTTTAGCTGAGTAGGAAATTAAAAAAGACAATGTTAATGGATAGGACATACATTACAGAAATCACCAAACAGCATCACGAGGCAAGCGCTAACTTGGAATCGTGAATGGAAACGAAAAAGAGAAAGGCAAAAGAATACACTGCGTCCGAAATTGGAAAAGGATGAATAGCAACTGGAAGGAACTGGAAAGGATTTCTCAGGAACAAGTTGAATGGAGAATGCTAGTGAGCGGCTTATGCTCCCATATGAGCAGTAACAGGTGTAAGCAAGTAAGTAAGTAAAGAGGCCAATACTAAAATAAAATAAATGTCCATTATTTCCTACTTTTCTGTGGTTGACTAAACAACGTCAATCAGTGATTTAAAGCCTTATTCTATTGAATTAAGCGATTATTGCTAAGATTTTAAATTGAAAAGTTCAGGTTATCAAACCAAAGGATTATAGCTGAGTGGATAACGCGATGGAGTTTGAAGCGAATGGTACTAGGTTCGAGTCCCAGAGTGAACATCAACTCTCTGAGATGCAGGTACATCCAGCTGACGAGTCCCAACTAGGACGAAACGCGCGTCCTGGATTCCACTGCTAGCCACTATCCATCGTTGCTTACAAATAGCTTGTGAATTAAGGTAATATCGAGGCATACGCACAGTATGCACATATGCCAATAACAGACTGATCAATTGCAGTGTTAAACCTCAATGGGAAGATACAAGCCAAACAATACCAAGTGAAGATCAGTAAATATATTTATTACTAAATTAAATGATACTCAGTCATATAAAAAAGAAATACGGTATAAATCTATACTACTACTACTACTACTACTACTACTACTACTACTACTACTACTACTACTACTACTACTACTACTACTACTACTACTACTACTACTACTACTACTACTACTACTACTACTACTACTACTACTACTACTACTACTACTACTACTACTACTACTACTACTACTACTACTACTACTACTACTACTACTACTACTACTACTACTACTACTACTACTACTACTACTACTACTACTACTACTACTACTACTACTACTACTACTACTACTACTACTACTACTACTACTACTACTACTACTACTACTACTACTACTACTACTACTACTACTACTACTACTACTACTACTACTACTACTACTACTACTACTACTACTACTACTACTACTACTACTACTACTACTACTACTACTACTACTACTACTACTACTACTACTACTACTACTACTACTACTACTACTACTACTACTACTACTACTACTACTACTACTACTACTACTACTACTACTACTACTACTACTACTACTACTACTACTACTACTACTACTACTACTACTACTACTACTACTACTACTACTACTACTACTACTACTACTACTACTACTACTACTACTACTACTACTACTACTACTACTACTACTACTACTACTACTACTACTACTACTACTACTACTACTACTACTACTACTACTACTACTACTACTACTACTACTACTACTACTACTACTACTACTACTACTACTACTACTACTACTACTACTACTACTACTACTACTACTACTACTACTACTACTACTACTACTACTACTACTACTACTACTACTACTACTACTACTACTACTACTACTACTACTACTACTACTACTACTACTACTACTACTACTACTACTACTACTACTACTACTACTACTACTACTACTACTACTACTACTACTACTACTACTACTACTACTACTACTACTACTACTACTACTACTACTACTACTACTACTACTACTACTACTACTACTACTACTACTACTACTACTACTACTACTACTACTACTACTACTACTACTACTACTACTACTACTACTACTACTACTACTACTACTACTACTACTACTACTACTACTACTACTACTACTACTACTACTACTACTAATACTGCTAATACTAATACTAATACTGTACTACCGCTACTACTACTACTACAAATTTTCTAAGAAATAAAGCAATGATATTTTTAGTGAAATGAAAATAAAACTTGACAATCTCTATCAACTTACTCGAGTTGTTGCGCCACATCGATTTATATTCAAAGCACATTGATCAATAGTATAATCCTTCAAATCAAATTCGAAAAATAAACTGAAAAAGAATTCAAGAAAATAAATTATTTGCAAATTATCATACTACTTATTATCTATTTGAAAGTGATTTATATTAGAAACTAATTTCAACTGATAAACTGATGAACAGAATGATAATATGACCAAAGTTTATTGAAGTTATCAATTTATAACACTGGATAACAAACAATTCAATGATCTAAAGTGAATAACATATTTGTAAGGTAATCTGAGATGTTCTAGAATCGAGCTATGACAACGTCATGAGTTTGTGTTGCTGAAGATTTCATGCACAGACGAAACAGCATTTCGTTACTGATTACTTTGTAATCTATGAGGAAAAAGAACTATCTTTAAACTGTACAGTTTCTGTAAGCTTTTTCATTCAACTGTAACACATACTAGTATGGTGTATACTGCTTATGCTGACAGATATAAGTAGTATGTAGCAGCAATAGAAAGTAGAATGTCTGCCAGCTGGAGATTGAGATAAAGGAAAGAGAAAAGGAAACAGAGGGGGATAGGAATAAAAACTGAATTGAAAGAATGAAGAAGTATGTACAGGATAACTGAAGGAAGATGTGCAAACAATGTACTTAATATATGGATCTCGTATTTTACGAAAGCACGTGGTCGATAGCATTCGATGTGCACTAAATAAGGACTTGACACACATGACATTGATCATCACCTAGTGATCAGTCAATTGTGATTACGAAAGCACTATATAGTTTTGCACTAATCAGTAAATTAAATTACTCCAACTAAGTTCTCGTTTACTACACTAGTACGTTACTAAGAAAGTCAGATAGTTTAAGGCAATCATGTTTAGTTAGCCACATTTCATAACAAACTCCAGTCTGTGTTTAAAACAATTGGTCCCTTTGATAAATTTCGTTAATGCAATACATTTCGAACAATCTGATCACACCTTATATACTTGTTAAGAACATTTATGTGAAAATTAAAAGGTCAATTAGACAGGTTAAAGGTAACCCTCAACAAAGGGAAAAAATACACAAAAGTACACAAAAACAAATGTGATTACCACTCTGGATAGGAAATCAGTATTACCAGGGTAGGTTAAGTGTAAGGACAAATTGTTTTTGAACACAAAAAGGAGGTTTCAATTTCCATATAGCCAAGGCTTCAATAAACCTTAGTATACGTCCTTGAAGGCTTTTTTATAACACTACAAATGCTGATTTGATATCAACCTTATAACCAGTCTCAATCAAATGTTTCGCAATGGAGGATGATGTCTGTCTATCGTGTGATCTTATTTGACCATTGAAATCCATTTGTTTCTGCAATCATTTTGCTATGTGTTCATATATAAATGATCTTAACGAGTATATTAGGTGTGATCAGATTGTTCTCGATGTATTGCGTAAATATATCACATAATTCTGATAAACTTCGTCTAGCCTGTATGTTAAAAAACACTATGTACTTACAACAAATCCACTATAATAATACCCAGCTAATTTTAATATTTAGAGTGGTATATTTCGTATCGTTGTTCTATACTATCTTGTTGGTTACGTATGTTCCATTTTGTCTAGTTTAACCTTTAATTTTCTTATATAATTATCATAAAACGTAAATGTATGATTCAGTCAGTCAGTCAGTCGTCCGTTCGTCCGTCCGTCCGTCCGTCCGTATATCAGTTCAAGTTGCCATACCACATTACCACACAGATAAAATTATCAATTCAAGTACCATAGTTTTAGAAGTAGTAAAAGTATAAGCAGTAATCGGAAACATTAGGATTTGAAGATATTATTCAAGGAGTATAATACAGTGAAATACATTTGGAAAGAGAAAAAAGAAAACGGACATGGAGAATTCAGAAGATTCGAATTTGGGAGAACACAAAGAGTGGATGCACCTGCTCCATTGCAAACGATTTTCAGCCATGTCATTCAAGGTCTCTAACTATCGGTTGCTATCATCTTGCGGATCCCAACCAGGTAGTCTACACTTACCAACAGGGTTCACTCAGTCCACTTGTCAGTGACTTCATGGATTTGTGCCAATGTTTTGGTCTGACCGACCCTAGCTTTCTTCCAACTTATTCCTACACCATAAAACATCACACGTTGTGGCAGTCTGTGGTTGGTATTGCTTAACACGTGTCCCAGTCATTTCAACTGATGAAGTTCCACTAGTACATCAATTGATTTGCCATCCTTAATTAGTACCCGTTTCCTAACAACTGCATTATTTACTCGGTTGTCCCAGGATATACCAGTAATGTTTCGAAGACTCCTATGATCAAATATTAGTAACCTACGAATATCCTCTACTCTTCCTGGTCATATTTCACAGCCATTGCCATCAAGGCATACGACAATCTAAATACCCCTATTACATCATATTTACATTTTGACTTTGTTTATTTACAATATTTATTTATTTATTTATTCATTTTGTATATTTGAAAGTTCGAAAACCAAAAGTTTATCTTTCTAGATGGAGTTTTGTTCTCTGAGCTGCATGGTTTTGGTTCCATCTGAAGTTTGTACTAATGATATCATTCAGAAGAATGATGAAAGCTCCACGAGCAAACTATTCAGCTCAGAGAACGAAACTCCATCAAAATCATCCACCTGAGCTACAAATCTTCACCATCTGAATTTATCTTTTGATTCAATCAAACTTGATTGTACCCCATGTATATAACACACATGTGATCTAGAACGAATTCCTTCTATTATAAAAACTCATATTATATCCATCAGTATTATATGCATACATGATTAGATTTGCCTTGAAAATGATTCTTCTCTGTATACATTAACTTCTCTAAGCTCAGTAAATGAAACTTTATCAAAATATACACTATTTCACTATGGTTTTATTTCCTATGAATCTAGGCTATTTAAGCTTCTGATCTCAGTCAATTATTATAACGGATAAATATAGATAAATAAGGGGATAGTTAGATAGATAGATAGACATAAACAATACAGGGTTAACAACAAATACGGATCATCCAATATGGATTGAAATTGATATTGGCATCGATATCATGAAATTGATTAGGAAAAATAAAATAAAATAAAATTACTGAATATAAGAATGATAAAACAATCTGACAAAATGCACACCGTTGAGGAGTTCCAAAATAGGACGAAACGGCCGTCCAGTGATCGGACAAAATGAAGGAAACTAAATTATCTGACATCAGTATAATACAGTATGAATTACGTTCAATCTATAATGACCAATTTTTCGAACCTGAAGTCTATAATCATTATTTAAAGTTATGATGGATTTATCAATTAGATCTTAATTGGTTGTTTAAAACTTGGATTAAAATCAGTCAGTCAGTCAGCTACAGTGAAGGATCAGGCACATATATACATCGGTCCAAGTTGCCATACCGCATTAGCACAACAAGATGAATACCAAACTCATAGAAGTAGTAAATTCAATGGTGGTGATATATAAAAGAAAGATTGCATATAAGGATATATTACAGGAAGAAAGATTTAGTACGTAGAAAGAAGGATATGAAGCGATTTTAATCTCATGGTGTAAAGGGAAACAAAGAGTATATACATCTACACTATTGTGATCGATTGTCAGCCATGTCACCCACAGTCTCCAACTATTGGTTACGGTAGTCATGTGGATCACAACCAAGTAGTCTGCATCTAACAACATGGCCAGAAGTTAGTGACTTCATAGACTGATGTCACGTTTTGGTTTGGCAGCCCCTAACATTCTTCCAACCGTCTTCAACACTATTCAGGATTGTGCGTTGTGGTAATCGTTGTTCAGACATACGTAACACGTGGCCCAAACATCTCGGTCGATAGAAACTCACAACCTCATATATTTACCAATTGTTTCTTTATTTGAACACATTAACATCGATACAGTGGGGTACCGAATACATATGCACTACACAAGTCACTTGATTTGTGTGTAAGCTGTGATACTGCCCGGGTGCCCAGACCTAAGAAGATGGTTTTCTTAGGTGGCCACGAACCAAGCCTTCGACATATAGGTCTGATCCACAAGGCAGTGGAACAACGTCAGGAGATGCAATCCCATGGTAGCCAGTGACCAACGATTGGTTCATACGCCATTTGTTCCCTCAGGATCCTAGAGTGCGTGTGCACCATTGGTTTGGAATCAGGGTTTTACGACTCCTATAGGTGGACTCTCTGTGACCACCAACCCTGTGTCAGCGCCGGACGTTCGATTTTCGTCCTCTCAATTTGATGAACAACAATAGTGCCGCGAGGAGGTAATGAGTAGGACTTTTGTGGTAGTGGTTGCATGCACGTAACCATGTGAGAGCATTTCGAGATGGGGAGTTGACTCTCCGCACTCTTGACCGTACCAGGGCATTTGGTGGCAGCATCGGTCTCGTTCTCATGATATCTCTTTTCATTACAAAATGTGTTTGATGCATATTTTAGTCCCCTTTTTGAGGACAAAAGAGGAGGAACGTACACGAACTGTCCTAGTAATGTTTCTTTAACCTTTCAACAATCAAATTCGAGATAGGTTGTCAACATTTTATTAAAGCGCCTAAGAACATGAGATTAGTGGACATAATCAGTGAATTACAACAAACCGAAATTATGAAGTGAATTATCGAAATAAACGGACCTTTGATGTTTCAGGTGTTTAACTTTGATTTAGGTGTTAAGGAAAATATAAAATAATGCTTGTTAATGAACAGATTTAATTTTATGATCGATTATATTATAAGTTGGCTAGGATTTAGATTCAGTAAGATGGTTCTAAGATGATGAGGAAACTGCTAACAGTCGGATTATGCGAACATAGGACTATTACTCTTACATGTCTAGTAATCGCATCAATTAAGATCAATCTAAATAGCATTTGTTCCAATTTTCTATAGTATTTATGTCCAACCAATTGAGGGAAATTTTAGCTAATCTATTCCTGTAGAACTTAGTTATTTGTATCTAATGTTTTCGATACCAATCATTATCTGTTCTTGTTTGCTTCTCTTCGATTTTCTCAACTTCCCGACGCTAGGCTTTCCACTTTCGATTGGTGTTACATACTACTTATATCTGTTGACATCAGTAGCACACATCACAGTAGTAGAATTTTTAGTTACTTCATAGTATGTGACTTTGTTGTTACCATTATTGTTATCATTCAATTATTTTAAGATAATTTTTATGATAAATTGACTGTAAAATGAAGATCCAGAAAGAACGGAATCAATATTTGATTCTAGTTTAAAACTCTGAGGTAGTGTACACTTAAGACTTAATCGGGGATTTCATTTAGAAACTTCAGGCCGTGCGGTGAGTACGGTGACTGAGTCAAGACCCTGGGGCTTATTTTTGCAACTTCAGATATTAATCAGCTATAAATTAGTGTAAACATCTAATTTGTACAGAAGATCTGCCACAACCCAAATAACTTGTTGATATCATTTCTAATTGTGCAAAACCGATTGACTTCTATGAGATTTCACAGACAACATCAGTTCCGTTTAAGATTCTAGGTATATGTTGCTGACGTCAACCAGTAGCAACGTTAAGTCAAGGACTTACTACTAACTATCTTTGCACACCTAATAAATTCAGAAATTTTGTGAAGAACACAATCTTTGGGCTTAAATGAAGAATACGCAGTATATTTATGGTCAGTCAATTTTTTTATAACAATTCATAAGTGACTTTTGTATTCACCAAATTTATATTCAGAATGGATTGCTAGATTGTTCAGTATGATATTCAACTATGATATTCAAACAATAGACTGACAGAACAAGCCAATTAATAGTTAAAGTCCTCTCTGCCAATAAATTCTATCCATGGAGTTTCTATTGAGATCACTAAATGAGGAGAAGTTGTCTGACATCAATTGGTTTCATAGACTAATCCATGGTGACTAACTATTGGACCATTAAACCTTGTAGTTACACTACAAACTTAATACACAGAATTCCACTACCACTATTGATCATTATCTTTGTGGTCTCATTTTTCATAAATGTAACCGTAAAGCATATAGGTCTAAAAATAGAAATATTAGTGACCTAGGTGACTATTAAATATTGTGGCTGGAGATTTGACAATATGAGAATTTATGTGTTCACTGTGGACATCATGATGAATTCAGTAACAGTATTAGTGAATATACCGTTAGTGGGATAACCGAAAAAACATGACAAAATAATACACATCAATGTGCTAACATGATCGCTTATTAAGCAAAGATGGATAGTGCCTAGCAATGGAATCCAGTTTGACGCGCGTTTCATCCTATTTGGGAGTCATCAGCTGGATGTACCTGCCTCCCAGAGTTGATGTTCAGTCTGGGACTCGAATCCGGTACCGTTCGCTTCAAACGCAAGAAGTGGATAGGATACACATTGAGGAAAGCACACATGACAAGCCCTCACATGGAATCCTCAATGCCGAAGGAGGAGAAGAGGAAGACCAAAGAACACATTATGACAAGAAATAGAGACAAATACGAGAAAAATGAACGAAAATTGGATAGAACTAGAAAGGGAGGCCGAGAACTGAGTGAATTGGAGAATGATGTTCAGCGGTCTATACTCCATTGGGAGTAACCGGCATAACACACTTTACTCCTAGACTTACCTTTTTTCTTTTGTATAAATAAAATATCGTAAAACTATTGGTTTGATTGAATTAGATTCACATTGAATTGGTGCCCAAATGGATGAAAATTCTCCATATTCATAATCATTAAACCGTATAGTCTCATTATTATTATCAAATAATTGTACATTCAATACAAATTGACTACATATAGAATTACGATCAGAGGAATCACTAGTACTACTACTAATACTACTATTAGTAGTAGTAGTAGTAGTAGTATAATTATTGACATAAGCCATTAATATCCCATTGAAACAATAACCAATACCAATTAAATTGGATTTTGATCATTATAATCATCATTCATAGTGATGAAATTATTGAATAATTTCATATTATAAAATTCAATTGGTTGATTTAATTGTAATAAATGAAGTAAATAGACTTCTAATTGTTTCCTGGTATCATGATTGTTGGGGTTGTTGTGCTTGTAGTTGTCGTGGTAGTGGTTGTTGCTATGCCAACGATTGAAATTTCTCATAATCTGTATAGATCTATATATATCATGTAAGAAATTTTGTGTTAAAGAGTTTTGTGTGATTAAATGATGAAATATTGGATAGAATGTTTCATTTAAATTAATCATTGTTGATGATCCTGATCCTTCTGCTGATGATGCTGACGACGCTCCTGTTCCTGCTCCTGCTGCTGATGGAATATCATTATAATGAGTAGTAGTAGCAGTAGTAGTAGTAGTATTATAAGTAGTAGATAAGAATATTGTAATTGACGTGAATGAGTTGTACATAGATTGAAATCATTTGTTGTTGTGGCATGAATCAAATTGACTAATTTCCGTAAAATTTTTTCTTCTTTTATCAGTAAATGACCATTGGATAAATCCATTAACATAATCATACACCAAATCATTATAATCGATAGAATGATCCTAATCAAATCGGATCTTTTATGAAAATGTTGGATCATACTCATTTTGTTTTTTTTTCAATTCGATGATGGAATCATTTAAGAAAAGAAAAAAAGTTACATTCACCAACCCCGCCCCCCTCAAAAAGAAAATGAAAAAAAGAAAAGATCTATTTACATCTATGTAGAAACAAGAATAATACTGATGATGATGATGAGGAGGATATTGTCGATAGTTTATCAGTTATAATGTGTTATATCTATCCATTTTGAAGTAAAACATTCTATATAGATATAGGGATATATGTATCCTAATAATACTGAGTTTACTGTTTTGTTTATAAACATTATGCCTAAATGTAGATATAGATCTGGTAAATAGAATCTATAATAGTTGACTCTATATGTACATCTAATAAAAGCCAATGCTTGTATTTCCCACAGATATAAGATAGATAGATGGATATATATATGTGGATCTGTAACGGAGTGACACACCTTACGGACGTACATACCTAAGCGTGTTCATCATCTAAGGGACAACTAAAATTTAGGTCTGATTTCTTTTGGCATAGTTTCCATGATTGGTCAAAGAGTTAAAATCTATTTTCCTAAATTGATGATTGGATATAGTTTATGTATAAAATGATAGTCAAATTAACGAATAGATTTTATTGGTAAATATAATCGGTTAATCAATTCACTAGTCATTTGATTAAAATTCTTTTACAACTGAGGGTATTTAAGATAGTGGAGAAGATTTGTAACTCACTATTTACTTGTGCTTGTTATTCCATATGGAAGAGCATAGGACGCCTAACAGCACTCTCCATCAAACGCTATCCTAGACAATCTTTTTCTAATGGATAGGACATACATTGAAGAAATCATCAAACTGCATCATGAGGCAAGCCCTAACTTGGAAATCCTGAATGGAAGCGGAAAGTAGGAAGGCCAAATAACCTATTACGTTGGGAAATAGAAGCAGATATCAAAAGGATGAATAACAACTGAGAACAAATGGAAAGGATCTTCCAGGACAGAGTTGGATGGACAATGCTCCTTCACGAGGAGTAACAGGCGGTGGAGAAGATTGGTATCTCAGATGTGTGTACAAACATAGGAACAAAAATCCAACCAATCGAAGATATAATCAAAATAAAAAAGCAAACAATGACAGGTTCAAGGTTAAAAACCAATCAGCATCGAGGTGTATAGGACAAGTCTTGAATCACATGTAAAAAAATTCGAACAATTCACTTCTACCTAAGGATTGTGCTGATGATGATGTTCAGAAGAACGATGAAAGTTCCACGATCAAACTATGCAGCTCAGTGAAGAAAACACCATCAAAATAGTTTTTACCATCGAAATTAGAAATTAAAAAACAGTTTTATTCCTCCTAGCAAAATAATAAGACTGAATATTTCCATTATCACTTAGTTTTTATTCTATTGAATGTGTATTATGTATTTCAGAAAGACAATGAACAATCAAATGAATGAATGAATGAATGACTTAATGAGCAAGAAACAGAACGTACACAGGATATTGGAAAGATCGAAAGAGAAAAAAAGAAAACAAAAGTCCGTAAACAACTGTCGTCTATATGCATACGTGCGTATTACTATTATTACTATTGTAGTGAACAGAAGACGGGTGTGGACAATCGAATTGTTTTAGAGTTACGTGATAAAATAGAAAAACCATATAGTAAATCGTTACCTAGCGAAATATCTATCCATCATATCAAACCGGAGCGTTCCTGTTGCAATTATCAATCCATTGTCTCACATTTCATTTTTCATGCGTTTTCTTACAAATTGCATTGTGTTTCCCCTCTGTCTTTCTTGATATTCGCCCATCTTCTGCTGCCAGACATTTTGTTTTGAACTCGCAATGACAGCGATCATAAATTGAAATGAATTAACCAATTGAAACATCTTACATGCTAATTGATCGATATACAGATCATTCTACTCATATAATAATATATCAATGGAATTCGGATCATTTTAAGAAGATATATGTATATGATTCTTACAATTAGAATAAAGGGAATAGATGTATTTCTACAACATCTTTATACCATTATTTATTAGTATGATTAGGGTAAAATAATGAAGATCATAATGAGTCAATCAAAAATAGACTACTATGGAAAAGCTGGAAGCATTAAACGGCTGCTTTGTTCTGTTGTGGAACTCCTCAGCAGTGCGCATCCACGATCAAGTTTCACGAGGTTCGAACCCAAGACCTCGCGCGTGAACGCTTAACCTTCTAATACTAATCAAAATATGCTCACTGGTGACCTGCTTCAATAGGTATTTCCTGGAGTTCTAGTGAAAAGCAGTGACCAGTGGAGTTCAACCAGGTCTGTTATGTTTGACGCGCTTGTCGCCCTATTTAAGACTTGTCAGCTGGATGTACCTGCATCCCAGTGTTGATGTTCACTCAGGGACTCGAATCCTTGTCGTTTAGTATATATACTACTGCTGTCAGGTTTTCCATGGTATTCTGGCTCCAAATGACTTGTGAATTCAACCATTAATTTGCTATAATATCCACAAAATCCCTCTCCCATCACTTAGTATTGCTCACTTGAATGTTAGCATCGATGTTTAGAACGAAAAGCGCTTCCCAGATTCCACTGATAGCCACTATTCATCTTTGCTTAACTGAAAGACTATTTTCATCATAAAATGAATTTAGTTGGTGGATCGTTTGCAGCAACTAAACAATATTAATTCATTGTTTTGACCTGATTCTAAACTCTTCATCAGTAAACATTCACAAATGTACATAAGATGAAATTCAGAAACTTTATTTGTCTCAATTAAGAGGCTAGTTTTAGGAATCCAAACAACATTTCAATGATCTTTACATTTATTTTTAGTCAATACACAGTCTGGCATGAAATTCGTCTGATCCCATCAAATCTATCGTCCTTATTCTCAGCATGGTTGAAATCTGGAAATCACAGTAGAACTTCAGAAATTCATCTCGAAAAGATAATCGATAGTGTGCACATGACTACTGTTTATCAAGTTAATTAGTGGAAGTTGTGTCAGGGTTAAAAATTAAAAAAGAAACACATTGCAAACACATATTGTAAACAGAGATGTCAATGAGAGACCGATCAATCATAGTCGTAAACATCAATGGGAAGATCCAAACAACTAATACAGAACGGAATAACAACCAACTATTTTTTCAGAAAGTACTCTCCAAATATCAGTCAACTGTTACATCTAGATTGTTTTGTAGAAGTTTGAATATATCAAAGAACCATCAACTAGTGGATTAGAATCAGTAGTAGTGGATTCCATAAAGGTTATAAGAGCGAATATACAATCTGCCAAATCTGTCAACCTTACATTTAAGCTGGTCAGATACATGTATTGTCAGGGTCCACATGACCAGAAACTTCCACCCTTCACTAAATGATACTGGAATGATGAAAGTCTTTTAAACCTGACCTTTAATCATAACTCTTAAGAAAAGCAACAACCTTTCTTGATAAATCAGACAGGTTTTGTGGATATTATATAGTAATTTCAATGGTGAAGATCATGAGTCAGTTGAAGCTAGACCAACAGGGAAAACCTGGAAGCACTGGATGGCCGTTTCGTCCAATTGTGGGACTCCGCAGCAGTGTGCATCCACGACCTTACTCCCTGCGAGATCCGAACCCAGGACCTACTGGTTTCGCACGCAAGCACTTAACAACTAGATCACTGAGCAGGCCGGCATCCAACGACGTTAATTTCTAACTTCAACTAATTCACAAAATTGAGCGACACATCCACCATTGTCTTCAGTCAGTTAATATCTCACAACAGACCTGGTTGAACTCCACTGGTCACTGCTTCTCACTAGAACTCCAGTATATACATCTTGAAGCCAATGGATGCGCACTGCTGAGGAGTCCCATAATAGGACGAAATGGCCGTCCAGTGCTTCCAGGTTTTCCATGGTGGTCTAGCTTCAACTGACTCATGATCTTAACCATTGAGATTTTCTTGACACTTTTTTGTTTAATTAAATCTTTTGGCTTCATCAGTGTTTTAGTATAGGCTTTAAATAACTAAGAACTGAGAATGTGAAGTTGACTAGATGAAAATAAGTTTTAAAAACGTGGACCAATGATACACGTTAATCAATAATTGACGATATTTCCATAGCCTTTAAGGGTATTTCACAGAGACAAGTGCATCGTGAATATAACACACGCTAAACAGAGCAACTATTTTAAACAAAATGCTTTATGACATATCACTACTACTGATCATTAATAAAGTAGTTCATCTTCTTAGATAAAATTCTATGAAGTGGTGTTCAGAAATTGATTACGTTGATTAAGTAATCACCGTTTATGGTTTCTGCACAATACTATTTGAGATTAAGTTTGTTTTGGATACGATGAGAATAATAAATTTTCATTCCGTTTAATTTCTTAATATGGATTGTTTAACTTACGACGTTTGATCAACTGAATAAACTCAGAAATTAAATGAAATTAATGACTAATTTAGTGGAGAAGATTTGTAGTTCAGATGGATGATTTCGGTGCAGTTTTGTTCTCTGAGCTGGATGGTTTGGTCGTGGAGCATTCACAGTTCTTCAGAAGAACAACCAAAGCTCGTTGTATTTGATATGATGGAAAGAAAAGTTCATTTTCGATGGATTTACTCATTATGAGTTTTGTTCAAGATCACTATCTTTCTGATTCAATGTGATGATTATTCGGTGTAGTATTTCTTTTCTTTTCTCATATGATATTTTATTCTGTATAATATGCAGTATTCTTGTATTCCATTGATATGAACTATACTCAGTATGTGATTTGTTATACCTCTAAGTATTTTTCATATATGTAATTTCATCCTAATTATTAATCAAAATGGATGTACAATCAATATATAAATGAGTGTACTTCTTACTAGAATCTTCGTTGTCGACGTGTTTTTGGGTTAATAAATCATCACTTATACCAGTCTTTGTTTTCTTACTTTCGCGTCGTGGGAATTGCATAAGTCCCTCGTTTCGAGTATAAGTGATGAGCGTTTCCGACATAACAATCAGCGACGACCAGATACAAAATGTAGCATTAAAAGAGCCAAGACAATAAGCATTCAAACGACAAGTTATAACAGTATATATACATATATATATATATATAGAAACGGGTTTTGTGGATATTATAGTAATTTTAATGGTTGAGATCATGAGTCAATTGAAGCTAGACTACCATGGAAAACCTGTAAGCACTGGACGGCCGTCTAGTCATATTGTGGGACTCATCAGCAATGCGCATCCACGATCACGCTGGCGAGGTTTGAACCCACAGCCCTCAGACTTGCGCGCAATCGCTTAACCTTTAGACCACTGAACCGGCGTCCAACGATGCTAGTGTCGAATTTCAACCAATCCAGGAAGTTGCGCTAACATCGTCCATTGTACTGAGGTAAATGCCTGCCTCTACCCGACACGGATTAGCTCCACTGTTCACGACTTCTCACTAGAACTTCGAGAATCCCCACACGAAGTCAATCACTGGTGAGTGTGTAGTGGCATTGGACAATAGCCACACAATCCACAAAGCTGTGAACACGAGACTACTCAGAAAATAGATATTCAATATTTAACGCGGAGAAATACCTAAAAATGGAGAAGGCGCGAACAATGAATTGAATGGACTGGAGTTGATCGAGTGG